CTGGAGCTTGCCCAGAGGCAGATGGCGAGTCAGTGGTGCCGGCGGCAGCCGCCTGAAACTTCCGTTCTCTCCGCGTTCCTGTCCACTGGCTCTATGTTCCTATCTCTCTCGCTTTCTTTCCTTCGAGCATGGAGGTCCAGCCCCGGGGGCCTTTCCTCCGGGCATCAACCCTGCTGGAGTGAACTGACCGACGTGGACGGCCTGTTTTGCCTCCCCGTCACTGCACGGACTTGTTGATGATCTCCGATCAGATCCAGTGCCCGACCCCAACTCTGCTCCTGTGCTCCCCCGCTGGAGCCCCGCCCGCAACTCATTTTCTTCTGCTTCTTCTTTGTGTTCCTCCTGCGGATGTGAAGGCTCGAGGCCACACCCCACCCTCTGTGCAGTCGCACACCCGGCGCACTCGATGCAAGATGCGTCCAGCGTACTAAAGCTACGGAAGGTCGCTTTTGAAGCTGCGTCAGATTCGGGCAACCAAACACCCCTGGGCAAGAACCTGCCACACAGATGGCTCAAATCCCAGTTTTTTAAGCGAGACAACCACTCAACGGCGACTGTGGCACCTCCTAAGCTCGTTGAGTGGCTGCACACCCGCTAAATCCCGAATGCCAACTTTCCGCAAACCTGCTGCACAGAAAGCATTTGCAATTTGCAAGATACACGAACTCTCTTTCTCTCTCAGTCTCCCTGCAAGCGCAGCGTGCATCTGTGATTCGCCAGCGCCTCACTTCTCCGCGGTGGGGGTGGTTCCGGAACCCTGGCTGCCTCAGTTATCAGCGGGCTTTTGTCTCACATCTTTCCACCACGCGCACTGGGATTTTCACATGCTGCATGACTCGTGTCCAAAAGCGAAGTGCATTCCAAAGAAGACCAGTAGACACGCAAAGAAGCCAGGAGGCCGTCCGCTGCGGAGCAACGACAGGGACACCTGAAGCAATGAACAGGCTGCACGTGCACCGCCTATGGTCAGCCCACCATCGCCACCACCACCAGCCACCACTAGCTACCGCCGTGATTTCAACTGTGAAGTTCCAATCTTCTCCCTTTCCCCCCTTTCACTATGAAGCTCAGTCCATGCGGCTTTTGGAACGTGGCATCTCACGAACGTGGCTCGGGCATCTCAATTGTGCGGTGTGTGGAGTTGGAGGGAGCTCTGGACATGGTGCTTTTGGAAAGCCCAAGCTTCCTCGAACCTTAAAACGTCTTAACTTGCCCAAAGAAAAATTGAAGATGGGATTCCTGACACTTCTCTGCTTCCAGGCCGCGCTTCGTCGCCGACGCCGCAGCCGAGGCAGATGCCTGGGCTGCCTGGGCCAGCGCCTTTGCGGGGCCGGCGCCCGCAACGCCTAGCGATCAATCTGCTCCAGGGTTTGCAGGTCACATCGCAGGTCCGAAAGAGCCCAATAGCTTTCGAGGTTAATGGCTTGGGGGATGTGCTGGTGGTTCTGGACTGATGTGCTGTCCATATGTCCATATCTGTCCATGTGAGTGTGAGGCATCTCTGGGCACGGTGTTCCTTGAATGTGTTGGGCTTCGGCCTACTTGTGGCCATAAACATCCTCCCTCCAGGTCCATGCCTGCACCATGGCCTGGCTTTGCAATCTCTTTCCTGGGTGGGGCAGAGACATCAAGTCTTTAGGTTCAATCTCAGGTTCTACAGGAGGCACACCTCCAACCTGGGCTCATGGCCTGCCCGTTCTGAGCGACGCCTCAGCACCGGGATTCGGCAGCTCATTGCTTTTAGGGGTTCACACGTGGCCTAGGTGAGACCATAATATGAGCCCTTTGGCGGCATCTCATCCGGACGACAATCCATCGACCCATGACTAACATGGGACCGAGATGGTACAGTAAGTTCGTGGCCACATCCGAACCTCCAGGGGCACATGAAGTCCCCACAGCTAGTACATCGACCCTGCAGAATCTTGCAACTGCAGTCGGCCTGGCCTGGTGAGATCGGCTCGGGAGAACTCACGGCACCTGGCAAACCACGAAGCTTCCGGGTATTCGAAGCAAAGGGTGATGGATTTGGAGTGGCAGGCGGGATGTCGCATTGGTGTGCGACCCACAGAAAGTGCATGAACAGCAGCCGCCGCAACACATGGCGGGTGCTTCATGCATGACGCTTATCCAAGAAGTTCCCTAGCAAAGAAGGCCAAGTTCCCTAGCAGAGAAGGCCACTGAAAATGAACATCCTGATGCTCATGCAACAGTCGAGCGCGGCACCCGGGAGAACGCCGGTCGGTTTCAGGCCTGGCGAAGGCGCCGCACCTCGAATCCAGGGGTGCGAAATTGTTGATGTGTGTTGAAACCTGGCAGATGCCAGGACTGTTTTTCCCAGCTTGGGCAAAGCCCTAGACTCTAGGAGTTGCCAGGTGCTCCCTCGATGTTTCTAGGTGATCTAGATGCGTCTCGTCTAGTTCAGCCCCAGGCCCGTGGGCTGCGCGAAGCGCTGGCCACGGAGCTGCTTCTTGCGCTCCTGGATTCGCAGGGACGAGCGCGGGGCAAAATGGGAGCCACTGAGTCTGAACCCCCGCCTCATCATTGAGAGGCGGCGTGTCTGTCGGACTGGACGTCGCCTCGCAAAAGGGAATTTCGGGCCGCATTTCGGGTTTTGGCGCGATGGCTGATTTGGAACGAGATGCTCACGCTGCAATCCTGCCGTATCATTCCCACCACCCTTCCTCCCATGCACCTCCACTTCCACAACACCTCGGAAAGGATTGCGACAGTGGTTGGGGCCAGATTGTCCAACAATCCAAGTACTCACAAGTCGCGAATATCATGACACCGTCTGCAGACTGGATTCGCGTCTTCGAGTCCGTAGAAGCGCCTGGAAGGTTCAAGGCATATCCACAGCATATCCATTCATGTCCATGTAGACATGTAGGCCCATGTCACCAAGGTGCTTAAGACTGCAGCGCCGCGAGCAGCAGCGCCAGCCGTGGCGAAGCGGGCCTTCTCCGGCGCCTAAGAGATGAAGGCAGCCACGGTTGAGAAAGGCTTTTGAAAATCTCGCTACGGGTATCTGAGCATGTGGACTTGCTGGCTGCGGCACCTGCGTGACGGAACGAGGCTCGTCAGATGAGAGGTCCACCTGAGCTGCAGAATTGGGACGACACCTTCGGACTCCACTTCAGGTCTCGAGGCCGTCTGAATGGCATTGATTCCTCAGGTCTGCCCCGAATTTCTTTTTCCCCGACAATATTGCCGAGGCTCCGTGGGCGTGCTGTGTCTCGCAGAGTCATGGAGGCGGCCGACCTGCAAACTTCAAGGAAACACACGCAGCAAGCAACTTATCGCTTTATACACCTCTTCCTGGAGTATTCCGGAGGATTCCCGAAATTTCTTCGGCTTTCGCATTTTGCCTCGTGCTTCTTCTGCTCCTGCTTCTTGCGCCTTGGCTAGACATCGAGACCCCCCCTGACTTTCTGCACTCCCCCCATGCAGTACAGGGCAAACCAGATTTCGTGGCTATTCATCCCAAACAAAAAACTTCCTGATCCGGTGGGTAATCTTGACCAAGCAAGCATCATCAATTTGTCCCTGAGGACTTTGGCTTTATCTTCGTTCTCCTTGGTTTCGCCGACTCGACGGCTACGGCGCACAGCAAGCAGGAGGAATGGGTGCAACATGACACACCAGCAGCAGCTTCATTCAGAACTCCATGCACTTCGGGCTGTAATCAAGAAGCCAATTCCCTGGGTTGGGAATCATGAGCTGGGTCATCTCCTGACCAAGGGAACAACAGCACCTTGTCACATCCGGCTCTTACTTGAAGCCCTTCACTCCAAACTGCATGCGTGTCTGCTGAAACTGGCTCCATGTTAGGAGCACCCTGCCCACCTCGCTGCTTGTGGAGGAACTGGGCTTTCAGCGACTCCTTGCATTCGGTGCTCCCAATCCCAGCGAACGATTCAAAAAGCCCCCTGAAACCGCTACAACCCCTCAGCTCCCGTCTGCAAGCCAAGGCTCGGTTTTGGCACTGCCATCGTGAGGCCTGCCCTCCTGCAAGGTCCATCAACGAAGGATCACAAGGGTGAGAACACTTCAGTAGCGAAACTGTCTTGGGTTTAAGGCAAAAACTTACATAGCCCTGAGCTGTCAACCTCTGGTCGTTCGACCAAGCGGCTTCTCGGCGAAATCCTGGCTTGCCTCTGCCTTTGCCTCGGGGGGTAGCTCTCCATGTGGACGCATCGCCGCAGCCTAGAACTAGTGTCGGCATCTCTCCTGTCATATCCTGCAGCCTGTCACACCCAAACTCCCCCAAACCCACGAGCCAGCACACCCCGTCATGATGTGAGCGATAGACATTATCTCAACCTCGGCAGCAACGTGTCTTAGTTTGCAAGTCCTCACTTCATTCACGTACTTTCGTGCTCGAAGGTGTAACAAACCCAATCAAACACACACCCACACAAGCAAACAAAACAAGCAAGCAAGCAAACAAACAAGCAAGCAAGCAAGCAGGCAAACAAACACACCCGCACGCGCGCTTCCAGGGCTAACCCAACAATTCAAGCAAACGTGCTTCCCCGAGAGAAGTGAAGCCACGTGGCCTGGGCTGCCCTTGACAATCCCACGGCCGCCGTAGGCCTTGCCACCCTTTCCGACAGGCTTCCCACCCATGGCATCTGAGGATGGCTTGCGTAGATTTGATTGGGAATGACTGGGAATGATTGGGAATGCCGGGTGGTGGGTGGGCTTCGTGCATGAGCAAGACAACAAGCACGTGAAGCGCTAAAGCCATGTCATGACGGAACTAAGAAGCTGCAAAGCTGCAAGGGATATGTTGCCAAACAATCGTCATGAATCATGAACCTTACCTTTCGTCGCACGGGGCTGCTGCTGTTACACCAGTACCAGGTGAGCGCACGAACTGAGCAGAATCAAAGACAAGATTGTTTGCGTCGGCTCGAGCTCCAACCCAGACCAGCCTGTGGCTGGCCTCAGCAGATCCGCAATGGAGCTTCGCTTCTCCAGCCTGTCCGCTCAATGGGTCAACCCGTCGTCAACACGGCGGGGTCCTCTTCTGACTCTTGTTCCTCGCCGATGATGTCGTCCAGTATGTCATGCAGCGCTTCCCAGTCGTCTTCGCCGAAGCTATCCGACAAGTCGTCCGACAAGTCGTCGGAAAAGTCTTCAAAAGAGTCGCGGGGGTGCCACGCATAGACCTGTGCCGAGTCTTTGTAGGCCTCCCAACTGAATGGCTGCATTGAGCCCTTCGCACTCCACAGCGTGATCTCGAGGTCGTCACCGTCACCTGGCACATGAAATCTTCTGCAACCAAGAATCCATGCAACCAAGAAGGTCGAGGAGTCTTGCGGAGCAAAAGGGGAGGAGCCAACATGCGAACGTGCCCGAGCGTGTGGGCATCTGGCCTTTGCTCTTGTTGAAGTGGTGGGGGACGTCGCACTGAGACAGGTAGCCCCTGATGCTTCGGTACGACCTTAACGGCCGAGGCTCATCCCAACATTTACCAACCCACAGTTCCACATACTCCAGCTTGCGATCCCGGGCACCCATTCTTTGACTTCAGAAGAAGTTGGGAGCGGCAACCTCCGCGTCCGGGGAGTTGGCGAATAGACCTGAAGACCAGACATGGAGCACCAAACGCACCGCCGATCCAAACGGAGAGCATCTGATAGCAGCTGTTTCGTGAAGCTACCGGTGGTCACGGTGCTCCATAGCCAGGACACGATCCGAAAGAGGCTATGGGCTTTAAAAGACCCAACTAGGCACATGTCTGAAGTCGCGTGGCAGCTCTGCATCTTGGAAGGTCTGGCCGGCCCGATGTACCTTACGCAGTCATTGGAGCTTTGGGCGATTCCTGCACTGGCATTGCGAAGACACTTCAGATGAGAGCTTGGACCTGAGCCACACTGACGGGCACGCACGGCAATGCAGTCAAGTAGCTCGGTCGGCGATGACTTGACGAGCAGACAGAGTCACATTCAGTCTCTGAATCCTCTCCTGCACGCAAAAGATCTGCATGAACAGTTCCCGCGACGATCCACTCGGTAGTCTCAGGCTATGTCCTCCGGTGATCCTGGAATGAGTGGATTGCAGGTCGTGAAGGCCGAGGCCTGCGTGACTCATGCGCTCATTGTGCTCGTCGATGCTCTTCATTATGTGCTGTAACTCAGGGTACTTCTTTTTTTGCCTTTGTCCAGGAGTGAGTTGCTGTGTGCTGTGGTTCTTCGTACTCCAGGCCACTCCAGGCAGAAGGTAGCGATGACATGCAAGTAGCACGCAGCGGCTCAGTAGGCTCAACAATATCTCGAAGCCACTCTGGAGAAAAAAGCGGCCTCTAGGTTGCCACATCGGTCGTAGCACATGCAGTTGCCTTAGATCCATACAGAAACTGCTTTCCCCGTGACAAACCACCGTCCCTTAGCTGGAGCCTTGGGACAACTCACACCCGGGCAGTCAAGTTGCAGGAGTGCTCTTTCAGCAACTGTGAGAACTCCTTCAACTTCTCTGCCTTCTGCCTCACAGCGAGCAGCTGAGTACGTAGCGGTCACCAGTGCAGTCACCACTGCAGAAGCAAGCCCGCAGGCTGGTGGGAACATGTGGGAAACAGATACGCAAGTTCACATCTTGTCCTGGCATTGCCGAGGTCGTCCATCTTGACGTGCAAAACCATCCATTTCCTCCACATCCTCAGCATCTGCCGAGCTATCCACACGCATTGAAGCCTAAGGCCACCACAAGTTGAACCGCAAGTATCGTGGCAGGGCTGCCGAGGCTTGAGACAGGAGGGCAGAACAACTCACCTCCATACGCTGCCACAGGGCGACCCGAACTCGACTTATGGAAGAGCAAACATGGTAGCACTCTGTTAGCATGACGGCTTAAATCTAAGCTGAGTTGAGAGTGCCTGTATGCGCACCTTCGTACGGCAATTGGCCCTGACCCAATGTGGCCTACTGCCCTGACTAGCACTGGGCAACACTGTCGTGGCGGCACCGACCCTGCTTTCAGCTGCCGTCGGTTCCAAGTCCATTCTGAGGACAGATCAACCGTTTTTGTTGGTGGAGCCTTGCCCTGGAGATCTTCTGACACGCCATACCTCACACGCTCTACAGTCTTGCCAATCGCTTCTAGTGCAGCCAAAGTTCGAATCCACAACCGACTGCTTGTCTAGGTGTGCCATCGCTATGGACACCTGGTAGCGTAGCGACGAGCAGTATGCTAGATCTCATGAACCCCCAGCATACCCAAACGCGGAATGATTTCACTCATCCATTCTGGAGACAAGGCATTGGACTGAGGTGTCCGGGAAGGGAGCCGATTCATGTTCCGGATACTCAGCATTAGCAGCAGCTTAAGTTGGCGTACATGGGGGGGGGGATTCTGAAGCACATCTCCGTCATGAATTGCAGCAAAGAGACAGGATCCCGGACACCTAAGCGCGTCAAGTGCTCTTGTTTCCTTAGCTCTCTCACGAGCAGCAACTTGAGAAGGGGCTACGAAAGCTAGTCACCGCAGGGGGGTGGAGTGAAGCGGTTTCGGGTTATGTTGATGTGATATCTTGGTAAGACCCAAAGCACACGGCTCCCCCAAGTTTGATGGCGTGCACATGCAGAATGGGTATCGCTGCTCCAAGCTGCAGCTTCAGTCTCGAATGCATGTTTGAGCAGCTGTTAACAAGCACGATTGAGTCCATGTAGAGACTCAACCGGTTAGTCAGGTAAGATCGAAGACCCCTAAACTCGAAATCTGAAGCCCTAAACTCCTTCAGCCCCCTTGCTTCCCCCCGCTGGAACCCCGTGTCGCAAACGAAGTTTAGGTACAGGGACGCTCTGTTCAGTACGACCTCTGCAAAGTACCACAGACCTTCAGAGCATGGTGACTGTGGGGGCGGGGGAGGACCTTGGGGTGGGGTGGGGGGGGGGCGGGGGGGGGACCTGAAGGTGGCAGGGGGGGGGGGCCCCCCCCCCCCCTACCTTATCCCACACGCAACCACCTTAAAGGAGAGGGGGGGGGGGGGGGGGCGCCGGCACCTTATCCTTCCAAAATGCTTCATGTGAGGTGAGGGGGGGGGGGGGGGGGGCCCCCCCCCCCACCCCCACCTTAAGTCTTGGGTTTCGGACCTGTTAAGGTGTGGAACCCTTTTTTTCCCTGGAAGCTTCTTAACAAGGTGAATACCAGTGCATGGGTAAACGACAACTCCCGCCAGCTCCACAGAGCTAGCTTTCGTGACTTTCAGCCCGCCCGGAGCTAGCTCACCTAAGCTCACTCCCTTCCATCTTCTGCCAAGTTTCAAGCCACCCAACGCTCCCGGTGAACAGAACTTCGTGTCCCAGATGCTTCGCAGGTTGCGAGTGACTTGGGCCAAGTTCTGCCTCAGGTAGAGATACTCTGCTGAACTGTCTGATAAAGCTTTCAGTTGTTTTAACATTCCAAAGAAGCTTCGTCGGTTGGCCCATGTGCCCGCCAAGGCACTCGCTCTGCTCCTTGGGGCAGGTTGGGCTGCAAAAGTATCTACTGTAAGGTTAAATAGGGACTCGGAAGCACAAAGTCAGCCCCGACGCGCAGTCATTGCCATCCAATGCTGCCACTGCACCTCCGCCGGCAACAGTCCGTGCCTTACACCCTGCCTCGCGAAGGCAACGAAGGTGACCATCCTTGGGGCTACAGCAGCTAGAGTCTAAGATGTGCTGAAGGCTTAGACACCTCGAGGGGGCCACCGCTTTTGCCAAGCTGCTCCCAAAAGCTTCGTGTTGCGTGCCAATCCACCTGTGCGATACACGGCGGGTGTGAAGCAGCTTTCTTGACGGCTTGGGACGCCTGATGATGCATGATATGCATGCGCAATGTGGTTTCGACAGCTTCTCAGCACGCCTCGCAACCTTGCGCTGTAGAGGACAACTCACCGGCTCAATTCAGATTATGCTCTACCGGCACTTGCACATGCAGGGGTGGTGACCTTGAACAGCCCCGACAATGTCAAGACACTAAGCCCTAAACATCCCTAGTTACACTAAGCCCTAACATCCCTAATTAACAAATCCATCCCCCCAAACAGGCCTCAGCTCCACCTCTAACACTCAGTTCTCGCGCAATCTCGGGCCAGGACTTGAGAAGACCCACCTCCATGGAGACGGCTTTTGGGTTCGGGTGCAAGGCAGTTGTTCAAACTTCATGGAGTCAGATTCTGCAGGTTGTCTTTTTCGGATTCTTTCGTAATGCAAGAATATTCAAGATGTTGGCCCTAGTTGCCGGATCCGGCTTGCAGGGCCGAGGAAGAGCACGTTTGTTACAGTATTTGAGGCTGCGTTTTTCAGGGTTTTTCTTTGCCTGCTTTGCGTGAAAGGTCCGTGCGTTCCATGTTACATTGGGGAGCACATCCGCGCGTGTAGATGTAGGTGTTTACATTGGCGCAAACAGGTTCGCTCTGTGCTTTCCATTGGGCAAAACGGAATGTATCCCAGAAGGTGTGCTTACGGAAATACCGCATGGTTGCTTTGGAGAGGGATGCAATGCTAGCAGCCACGGAAATACGCATTGTCGGGGCATGACATATGCCATGGCAAGGGTGCACTGGCCAAATTCTGAAGGCGGCGAGTCGATGTGCACAAGGTGTCACAGTGCAAGACAGCATGTTCTGGATAGCACTGGTTTCAGCATCACACCCATACGTACATGCATACTTCATACATGCATGCGTACATACATACGTAGATAAAACATACAGGTAGTACATATATAAATACATATATATATACATGTATACATATATACATATACATATGTGGGTGCGTGACTTTTCGGACATGTCTAGTCATGTACGTTGTTTTGCACATATTGTTGTTGGCTTCGATGATGTGATGCGCACGTAGTGCCCTGCCATGACTGTGCAAATCAGAACGATGTATGTAATCCCTGCAAATATTCGAGCCGGAGACACATGCTATTGCGCTTCCTCTCTGACAGGGTGGTCGGGGCTCTTCTGGGACAGGCCAGTTTAGGGCCGAAATCCATCCGCTGCGCGAATTTTCTACTGTTCACTTTGCAGCGAATGCAACGGCGTATAGAAAGTGTGGAGTTTTGTGTTTCGTGTGTGTGGAGCATGTGAGCACGTCGTTGAAGTCATGCCCGAGCGCGTAGTGTTTCTTAACTCAACGACGGCAATGAAGGGTAGCTATTGGGACCCCCACCTCACAGGCCGATAAGCGCATTGGATTCATCTATACGTCGCATCTTCCAAGGCGATATGAAGATGAAGAGAACAATCCGAATTTTTGTTGGACTATTGAGTTGCTCCAGACAAATCATACATTTTCTAAGCAAATACTGTTTTGTCTGGCAAATAGCCCCCCGTCACAAATAGTGGTCTTTCTAGGCCAAGTATTGATTAACCACCAACCATACGCGAATGAAGTATTGGTGCAGTACCCTTTCGTGCCTACTGAATACAGCTAAAAACAATATGAACTTAATTTCCATGTGCGATATACAAGGACACTTGTCATTACACACTTTATAAAAACCGTTGAGATACGAATTACATACAGTACCGCATATATTAACTATATCTAGACAAGCTCAAGAAAACTTTTTGAGTAGTACAGGCCATAGTATTTGGAAAATCCACAAACACCGGAAGGTCCAAAGGGTAGGCTTGGATCTCGAGGTCTTTTGGTGTCCCTGGGCAGAAAGGGCCCTTTATGCAACAGGCCTATCGAGACCTATAATGCTTGTTCCATTTACGCAAAAGAATAATCAAACATACAGCCGAAATACTAATGAGCACGAGTTATATTTTTGCAAACGAAACTCATTGCTCATTACACACGGATTTAATCAATAGAACAGTAGCCAAGTAGCCCATATGATTCGAATACTCGTCATTTCAAGACTACTTGAATACGAACAAAATGCGAATTTAGCCACGGGTTTAGGCACTCCAGGGACACTCTGGGGTGGGATACCGGTGATGGGCGAGGAGTAGACCGGGCGAAGAGAAGAGTTTAGCTCAAAATCTAACAACCCCACACCGGGTGGGGAACAAAAAGCAACATCGGGAACTCCCGGGAACAAGGCTCCTTTAAGCCCTGGCTTCAAGAGTTCCAAAATTGCTTGTTGCTTAGTTTGTTTGCTTTTTGGTGCTGGATGTGCTTGTCTTTATTTGGTTTGGTTTTGTTTTTGTTGCTTGTTCGATCTTGTTCGGTTTGTTTAATTGGTTTTGTAGTTTGTTCGTTTCGTTGTTTGCTTATGCTCGATTGTTGGTTTGTATTGTGTTTCGAGGAGATTCAAGCGCAGTGAGCGAACTTCGACCCAAAACCGGCCATCATAACATGATGAAATGACGCACATGATGCTTTGCTCCGTCAGGATGCTCAGTATGCTCAGTTCTGACAGCCTTGTTGGTAAGATTCGCGGTTCTCCACAGCAGATTCCTCAGTGCTCAGGAAAAGCCACATCGTGCCACGCCAGAAGCCGAGAATCACATAACAAACCCATCACGGCGCTTCAACCAGTACTCACACTTGGCACAAAGGGTCCACTGGAAAACGTCCTCTGCAGGCGCCAACTCAAGAGGAGAGTTGACCATGTTCTTCCAGAAGCTCTCCAACCTGTTCTGAGCTCAAGAAAAAGACGCATCCGAAGCTGAGTCAAAGTCGATATATGGCGCTATGGGATTGAGTGTTGCGGAAGCTCGCGCCTGACTCTTTCAGGCGGCTGGTTGTAGAAGTCGAGGTCATCATCGTGTACATATTTCCGCGGCTCCTGCATTCGCACATGAAGCTCGCTAGCCTGCGATCAGTTCACAAGCTCTCATGACCAAGGCACCACAGAAGCCCGAGTGATGTTTTGAAGGGGAGCCAGCTCTTCCTTGCCGCACACGCAGAAGAGAACACACCATATTCTGGTGATGCACAACAGCCGCGCCTCCACACGCGTGCTTGCATTCTGAAACTCAGGAATGGAGAAAAATCCTGCCAGGCGTTGAAGCAATGTCACGGAAGACAGCACATGTCCAGGTGCATCTCAGCCTGTTGAATTATGCTCCAGTTCAAGCAACCTCTAAGGCAGCAAGAGCAAGCCCAGATGTGTACGGCATGGATTTGTGGAGCCAGCGCTTGTTTTCCTGCTGTTTTGCATGCTTCTTGTATTGCTTTCTTTTCTGGGTTGAGAGCAAGCACCGTTACCGGCATCATTTCGGCCTGCTCAGTTCTCTGAACACTGAATATTTCAGTCTGGCTGTTCCCTGATGCCTCGCAGGCTCCAAGTACTTTATTGTGCAGAATGCTTCACAGGCTCTAAAAACTGGCAATGGATAGGAATTCTTTCCTTCCGCTGTCCCCGCGTTCTCGTATGATGTCTGTCTTTGTTCTTCTATGCTGCACGGCCTGTGTTTGTGGTGCGGTTCCCGCCCCCGACATGCTGAGGGTTATGCTAAACTACAAGTTTCTTCTTCTTCTTCTTCTGCTGCCCACTTTCTCCTGTTACGCTTGAGAATTCTGAGCCTGCAGCCTATTTCAGCCCCAGCACAACAAAGCCACACTCACGAAGGCCAGAAGCTGCACAGCTAACAGAGTCAACTGAGTCAACCCCCTTGCCTTTGCCAGCATTGTCGGCGTCTTCCATACACCGCAAGCTGGAAGCACAAAATGCCACAACGAACGGCAATATGCTGGGGCAAGGATGGGTATCCTGCAGCGTGGCGCTGTCAAAGCTTGCATGCATTATCTTGCCTGCTCACCTCCGGACGATACCATGCTCAGACAGGGCACAGATGGCATAGCCTCCATCGTAGCTCCGTGAGCCTTCAAGGCAGCCACCCAAATCTTGTCGGAGAACACGGGCATCTTCTTTTCAGCGTCCTCTTACACAATGCAGCCAGACCCCGAACCTTAACGCTCTTGCACTCTTGCTATGCTTTGTCAGCAGAGGGGGGGAAGGGCCGAAAGTCCTCTGTATCCACACGGTTTCCTGGCGTGAGGAGCGTAAGTTCTATTAGCACGGTAAGTTGACTTTGGGACTGCCTCTAGCATTCTGAAGAACAATCTCACCTGGTAGCTACATTGCATAACTCTGGACTTTCATGTTCCATTTGGCTCCCCCCTAGACCCCAAGCCACGGAACCCAAGAACCCTAGAGGCGCTCCCGCGAAAGAGCACTGCAGCTCTGCAAAGCGCTGCATCTCGCTGCTTGTGCCATTTTCGAGAACTCCTTTCAAGTCCTGCCAGGATGCCGCAAAATCGCCATGCTCACAAATCTCGAGCACACAACAACTGACATGTTACGGCTGCGCTGCCCAAGGTGAGATGTTGCGGCGCAAGGGGGTGGAGTTCTTTGTACCGGTGTCGCTACTTTCCAACGTCGGCCGAGGCCACCTCTCGGAAGCAGCAAGAAAAGGTTGAAAAGTGAAAGGGCCGAAGGCATCCGAAGGCCAGCTGACACATCTGCTGACACGCCCTGTCATGTTCAGCTGTCTCTCTCAACACTCTTGACGCCATCGATCTGCTGCAGTTTCGTCTGGGCCTCTTCTACACTCATCGACGTCGTATCCAGCTGGACGCAAAGAATATCACCACCGAACATAGATTTAACATCCAACACCTCCGACATGGAGTTTATCTTCTCTGCTGCAGAGTCCTTCTGGGCCGCATCAAAAGTCAAGAGGAACTTGGTCCAGCCGACTGGGGCTGGAGGAGCAGCGGCAGTGCATGAGAACGTGACTGGCAAATCGCACTTCTTCAATCGCACGATGTGATGAGGCTGTGTCAAGGCCATAGTGCACATCGCCCCAGGCGGGGGCGACGTGGTTTCATACACTACGCGCAGGCTGCCACTCGATTCTTCGATGCTTTTGATGCTAACAGAGTGCCCGCCACTGCCCTGCTGACCCGAAAAGACATAGACAATCATGTCTGTGTCGAAGGGCATGTCAGGGAGCTCAGGTGGCGGGGAACTTTTGGAAGTGTGCTTCTTCCAGAGGCTTGACCACTCCTCCTTCGAGGTGATGACTGCCTCCACAGCATCCGAGATACCCGAGTGGGTTCCTTGAGCCAGCGTGTCGAAGCTCACAGCCATAGCGGCTGCTGAAACTAAACGGCCTGCAGCCCTACGTTCGAAGCTGAGATCTGAGCAGAGTAGCGGCGCACACATGCAATTGCGGCGTAGAATGCATTTCTTGATGAGACACAGCTCCATGCACCGATCCAGGCACAGTAGTCCTCCGATTCCAAGTCAGTCAGACCCTTCTCGAGACAGCTTCCTTTCGACGAACACGCCAAGGCATTCATGAGCTCATCCTTGACTGCAGCAGACCAAGATAAACGCATAGAACGGAGCTAGCGAGGGAAAAGGAAGCAAACCCACAAAACAGCTACTCCTAAAGACTAAAAGGCCAAGATGTCTGCACGCACTGCAAACCTGTGCCAAGCTTCATACTTGTATCCCAAGTCGATGGAGCCCGGAGTGCCCTCTTCGTTGTGCATCAACGGCCACCACTGCTGGGACAAAGCTCCTGGCCCAGCACCGCGCATCTTTCTGCGCGAGAATGAACACACTGCACACGCTTTTCTTTTATCAGATCCTTGCATCAATCGCTGGAATGTTCGCGCCGTGCAGGCAAGAAGTGGCTGTTCGTGAGTGCAAGCATCCAGATACCTGGGCTGCCAAGGCCCCCGCATCATATGCATATCGCTCAACCGTTCTGGAGAGCTCTTTGACTGGCTGCGTTTCTTCTTCGCACCAGATTCCGAGGAACTCGAACCCCATGCTAACTGCCTCCACTGCCACCACCCATATTCCAGCGCCAACCGATTCGGGAATGCATAATTCCACAGAGTTCCTTTGGCTTCGTGGTAACCTCGAGATGCCGTTCCGGGACCTGGAGCCTGCCACATTTGTCAGGCTGCGGCTGTCGCGCATCACGCACCGCATCCAAGCAGCGCTCGACATCGAGGTCTTCGGGGTGGCCACCTTTCAACCCATCTGCTTTGCACAAGCGCCCTGTGTTTAAGCCTCTTGCACTCAGTGGACAGAACCTCAACACCAATCAGAGAGAGAGAGAGAGAGAGGTGCCAAGTCGTCCAGGGGCCCATTGCCCATTGCACCTGTGGGTATTGCTGATATGGAGATCTCGGGCACCAGGGCGTGCAGGGCGCCAACGAAATTGCCAACCACTGCCTTTGCGGACTTGCAGGGGCCTTGGACCTCTCCCTAACTGCCCCCAACTACACCTGTGTGACTCAGGGACTCATGGCGGCACAAGTTGCTTGGCTCCAAGCACAAAGGAATTCTGCTTGCACATAGTTCTGCTTAGGTCGCATGGGTCTGTGTCTGCTACTATGCGAGCATGATGAGTCATCCCCAGTTCGACACCCGCAGCGCTTTCAACTTGAATGCGGCCCAAGCACATGCAGAATGGCACTCCTCAGTCACAGGACATCGTGTCCAGCAGAGACAAAGCACTGGCTGATTTGGGAAACAGGAAGCTCCATAGATGAGCCAGGCAAGCCATCAAACTCCTCCCAAACGCAAGCCCGAGGCACACGAGGTCTGGGAAAGTGATGTACAGCGTCAGCTGAAGGACTTTGGATTCCATGGATGCTTGCCTCAGCATACACTGACGTGCCACAGGCTTCATATATGAAACAACACCAACGAAAGAAACACGGAAGCTGTGCGACCACGCCACATGACCTTCTGGCAGTCTTTGTTGTTCAAAGCAATGGGAAGTTGCTCCTCCAGCTTCTGCCTTGGCAGACACAGATACATGCAGACTCAAATTTCACCACACAAATTTTACCAATGCACATCGTAAGACAATGCCGAGGCTCCTATTTGCAGCGAGCTTGTCCGTGAACTCACGCTGGGTAGAGCGCAAAAGTTCCTCTGCGCACGGCAAGCTCTAACGGCTCTAGCGATTTTTGCTGTCCGTGACGGACTTGCAAAATCTTGCAAAGCTGTCTGCACACCCACCGAAGCACGCAGCGTGACAGAACGTGTAGGTGGTTCATGCGCTGAGGTGGCAGAAGCTGCTCGTCCTCTTCGCCTCTCTCCATCTCGTCCAGCCTGCTCTGCCTAAGATGACATGATCTACAGAGGGTGCGGCCGTAGGTCTGAGCAAAGGCTTGCACCGCAGGAGTGCGGCAGAGGCACAGCAAGGCAAGATGCTGATCGACAGCCGCGGCTGGCTTGTTCCTCAGGTGTTCGATGAGGTGCTCCTGCCATACAGAACTCAGGATCGACAGAACCTCTCTTAAACAGGCTACGATGAAAGCAGTCTTCAGTCTCCTCCACCATTCGTTCGTGCTGCATTGCCTCCGCATCCTGCTCCGCCTCCTCCACTTCCAGCTGCTCCATGTTCGAAGCCTCCAAGACGAGAGGACCAAGGTAGCAACGCCATTGTTAGCAGAATATTTTGAGCAAGAACATGATCAACACAGACTTCAATGCCACCTCCCTCTACACACCGTGAAACTCCTCAATTCCCGGGGCAAGCACCCGGCCTCAGAGAGCTCTAACATACTGGCGCCACTCTCTGGGAAGTAACCTCAAGTTTTGCAATGCTGGTTCCGTCGCGGCTCGGGCTGCGCCCCTACACAATTGTCCCCGACATGTCACACCCGAACCCATCACAATGGACCAATTCCTAAGTGGCCTCATCCAGCCCAGTAGCTGTCAATGCGCTCTTTCATCTGTCGTCGCACAGATGAAGATGCATAGGAGTACCCTGCCACAGCTGGACGTCTGCCAACAATGTGCGGGAGTCTCGCTAGCGAATATCTCCACTGCCACACACACACACTGCTCCGCCTGCTCAAAGCTACGACCCTTCTTGCCATGCAGCAAAGTAAAGAACACGCTTTGCACCGCCAAGCTGCCAAAGAGTCGTCGCTTGATGGAGCTGAGTTTGCTGGCCACTTTCTTCATGGCACGCTTCAGCTTGCGCCAGAGGTTCTGCACCTCGCTTCAACACACAAGGGCTGCACAATTAGTTTGGGTGCTTTGTTTTTGTGGGATTGAAATTGGGTGATGAATCGAGGTGTTTGGACAACAATGTACATGGGAGGATTTCGTAGGGTGGGTGTCACCACCACCACCACCCTCCTTTTTGCAATGTGCAAGGTTGGTCCAGGCACTGCATGTTGACGAAAGCGTGCTCGACCTTTAAAATGGCTTGGCTTGCGCTCAACCTTGAAAACAAGGCTTGGCGTGCAGCTTGGCTTTTTTGATAGCACGTGGGATTGGACACTAACGATCCAAACGTGCTCAGCCTTTACCAAGTGGTCTGGCTTTGGCTGAAGGGAGAAATGCCTCTTATCGTTCAATGTGTCCCTCTTGTCTCTTCCTTCTTTGTTTCATCCTCTCCTCGGTGCTCAGTGGGCTTGGGGGTCAGGGGTGCACACATGTGGTGTGCCGCCTGTGAACACATGCGGTGTGCCACTGGCCGTTAGGTGGTTTGTTTCTCTCCCCAGGGCAGCCATCACACTACGGCTTGCGCCGCCGGCCAGCGGAACGAGTAGAAACAAATCAAAAACACGTCCACACACAGCTGCTGTTCAGGTCGAAACTTAAGAACTCAAACAGGACGGCCCCAGCATCCATGCCCATGAACTTCTTAACTTCTCTTGATCGTTCATTGAGCGGACGAGAAGATATGGAAAACAATCGTTTGACGGCTGGCTTCAGCCATGACATTCTCCTGACGCTATATTCGGCTTCTGCATTCCAGCAGCCATTGGCTAGACGCCTTGCGAAGGGTCTGTCTCAAGGCAGCGGCGTTGCTGAAGGCACTCGGCAACTGTAGGGCATGTTGGCAGCTGGCAAGGCGGGACCTTCTACTGATCTTTGCGAGCCTCTGAATTGAGGGACGATCCAAGCAGAAAGGAAGCCAACTCATGTCGTCGCTTTTCTATCCTTCAACCTAACGGTTTAACCCCTCAACTCCTCAAAATCAGCTTGCCTAAGTTACATTAAGCTACTAGACTGGCTCCCCCGCCTTGGCGAACACGTTGCAAACTGCGCAGCGGCCGCAAACAGCCATCCTTCGCTACAAATGTTTGTGAGCAGGTGAGAAGGGATGCCGGCTTCCCGCATTGGTGCCGAGACTCTGCTGAAGGAAGGAAACCGGCAGGCCAAGCCAGCCTGCTCGTTGCGACTGGTGGCTGTACTGCCTGAGTTCTGCAATGCCGTGACTGCTTAGTGCACGTAATGTACAACACTCCGCTGCAACTGACTTCTTTTCCCTACGTTTGCTCTCTGGCAACGTCTGTTCAATAGAGGCACTCGCGGCAACTCCGGCGGTCTTGCGAGCTAAGTTCCTCCGCTGCTGCTCCCACGCCGCAGTCCTGCGAAGTGAAAGACTTTGTCAAGGAGAAGCTCTTTGCCGGCTCTTGCCTTCGACGGCAGGAGTCCTCACCGACAAGGGCAGCATCAACCTGCACAGACACAAGCATGGGTGCACGAACAGTTTGTGAAGAAGAAGCCATTCTTCACAAAAATGTGCCTGCTGCGCGGCATTCAGGCCCCATTCGATATGGGTGCTAGGACGGCAGACCTCAGATTCCACCCATCAATCCAAGAAGTCTACTGGTGTCATTGGTGCCGAGTAACATATGCGATTTCGACCGATGGCATAGGGTGTGGTGGGAAGATTTCCCATTCCAGCCCCACCTGAACAAAAGGCACTGACACAACAGACTGCCACTGCACATGGCCACAGCTCAGTTCACCGCGTGTCTCTCCATGGAAACCATCTCCGGACAGGTCTGACAAGAAGAGCCTGATGCGGTAGGGCAGTCTGTAACATTCTCCCTTCAAGTTCGGCCATCGCAGACCCGATGCTAAAGAATCAGGTCTTCAAGCCTTACCTGAACGGTTGAAAGCCTTTGGTGCAGAGCACGGAAGCTCGGATAACGACTCATGTCCCCCGCACCCAGCAGCATTTCCTGCAAGGAATCTAGCCCCTCCAGCCCTTAAGCCGCTCAAGCCACACTTCAACGCCAGAATTCCCGACGTGCGAAGCAGGAATCACCACAGAAGGCAACAAAAATGCCCAGGCACGATTCTGCGTTACTTCGGAAATGCGGCGCTTGCCTTCGACACCTGCACAGGAAGGACTCATTTCGACAGTTCAACTGCCTTTTGCTGCACGGGCAAATTTCGCGCGATTCTACCGCGACCTTTGTGTGGCTTGCACAATACTACACGTGTCTGAACGATGCCCAGCACAAATGTGGACGAAGATGCCTGCAATTGCATGGGCGAGGATCAACAAACCAAGAATGGGAGGCATCGCAGCTAGTTCTAAATTACTGATGTAAGTTTTACAAACAACTTGGGCCAAAAAAGTGGTGCAGCAGGAAGCCAGACCAGAGACACACAAAGCCTATTGCAGCGAAAGAAATCCGTGGTATCCACAGTGTTGTTTTCCGCATTTTGCGGTCTATCACTGGAAGGTGCCACCCTTTGTCGGCACCGTCGTGCAATCTTGTGCTGCGAACAAGGAAACTACAGCTGAATACACCTCCTGCATGCTCATGGTTCTGGGATGCTCTTTGTTCGCGACACCTTTGTCTGGGGAGGCACGCGTCTCAGTCATGCTGGCGAGTTTCCTGCAGCAAGCCCGAAGCGAAACGCAGTACTGCTATTGCTCTCCTTCCGTGCGTTACATCCCATGCGCATACCAGTGGCTTGCAGGTCCTGCAGAGTTTGTCTGCACCGAGCCGCTTCCAGAAAATGGAGAGAAACGCTCCTGGAAAAAATGTCTCAGGAACTCAGCCACTTGACTCCACTTGACTGTAAACTTAACAAGGTACCCATATGCACCTGGGGAAGTAGCAGTTGCGGAGACAGTGGCTCGCTGCCTTCCGAATCATCTAACCTGAGTCTGCGGAAGCACTGATCTTGCAGCCGGCTTCGGGCACGCCAAACACGTCAGACCACACCACATGTTTCTTTTCATGTTTCTTGGCCGACGTGTTCACATCCCTACTTTCCTCCCCTATTATCTCGTCGCCTGTTTCGGCAGGATGCTGGCCAGGGCACAAGGTCCGCAGTCTGCGGACTTCCGCTTCGTACTCTGCTTTCCTTGGCAAAGTACCACTCAACTGCAACTGTGTAACTGGCACCCTCCGGAATGCCAGATTATGGCGTTCATCCCATGAAAGGCCGATTCATATCATACACCCCACCTCACATCACAGCACACTGAGGCCGGCTTCAGAACACTCGCAGGTGGCTTTGGCCCCCGGTTCAGTACACGTCGGCTCTCATGCTCAGGACCGCAAGGATCAATGGACCGTGGGCTGCGGGACGTGGAGGTCTGGCGCCCCGGGGTTGGGCATGCGGCATGCGACCATCCATTTCTGCCTTCTGACATCATGTTCTTGTGTAGAGGCTCGCGGTTGCTTGTCTTCACTGATCTCTGATGGATGCCCCCTGCAACCCACATCTCCCGATCTGCGCCGTGCCTCTCACCCCTGCTAGGGCAGCGAAGGAAAGCATTCCCAGTGTTGGCAGAGATCGAGTTAACATCAGACACATCCGAATGACCCGCCAAGCCCATCATCAGGTCTGACCCTCCAGCTGAGGTAAAGGCAGCAACGCGAGGTCGTCGCTGGCTGTGGCCAGGGCTTGCGCCAGTTCGATTTGGCACCTGGCACATTCACCCCACCACATGCACCACCACCACCACCACCACCACAACGACCACAGCCGCGACCACCACCGCGACCACCACCACCACCACGACCACCACCACGAACACCACCAACCACCACCACAACGACCACCACGACGACCACCACGACGACCACCACGACGACCACCACGACGACCACCACGACGACCACCACGACGACCACCACGACGACCACCACGACCACCACGACGACCACCACGACGACCACCACGACGACCACCACGACGACCACCACGACGACCACCACGACCACGACCACGACCACGACCACGACCACGACCACGACCACAACCGACCACACGACCACGACCACGACCACCACCGACGACCACCACGACCACCACGACGACCACCACCACGACCACCACCACGACCACCACCACGACCACCACCACGACCACCACGACGACCACCACGACGACCACCACCACGACCACCACCACGACGACCACCACCACGACCACCACGACCACCACGACGACCACCACCACGACCACCACCACGACCACCACCACGACCACCACCACGACCACCACGACGACCACCACGACGACCACCACCACGACCACCACGACCACCACGACCACCACGACCACCACGACCACCACGACCACCACGACCACCACGACCACCACGACCACCACGACCACCACGACCACCACGAGCGACGAGGTCAACGACGACGTTCCACCAGATACCACGCAACCATCGAGCCCATCGAACTGAGCCAAAGCCAGGTCAAGCCCAAGCCCAGACAAAAGCGAAAGAGCTATGGTTTCACGCTCGGTGGCTCAGCTTCGAGATTGCAGTCAATATGGCCGCACTTGCACTTGCTCCGCGGCAGAATGCAGCATGTAAACAACAATTTGACACATCAGCACTTGTACATGAACCTGCACCTGTCCTCCCTACAAAGAACCTTGCAGAAAAAATTGGATGGGGCACTGATCCAGCTCAGCTTGGACGCTGCTCAGTTTGGCGGAAGTATCCTGGATGAGAATTGCGAAGAAATATGGACACCAGGGCTGGAGAGAGAATGTAACTTGGTGCGGAAACGGTAGCAAGGTTGAGTGGGCAAGCTAGGGCCCTAAAAGAAACACACGCGTGCCCTCCTCCAAGAGGTACTCCAACTCCTTTCGCTTGTTTTCCTCGCATTCCATGCTCCAGAACGTGTGCGTGAGATCGGGCACTGCAGAACAACGATCCTACTGTGTATGGCGCTCTGAAGGGCAGACTATCACAAAGATGCTGGGTACGCACAGCATGTCACAGCCATAGACTCGCTCTCTGCCAGCTTGGCATTGCTGCGCTGGAGCTCCTGTCCAAGTGTGAGCTTTCCATATTCGTGATTATTAGTGCTAAATCTCCCAAAAACGGATCCTGAAGCTGCCTTCAAGGGTTCGGGATGGGGCGAAAGGCGACAGGCGAGAAAGGGCTTTGAACATGCTCTCCCTAGCCCGTGATTTCGTGAATCTAATGTTAAACCTTGGAATGATTATTAGGGCTTTTTCATGTAATCTTTCACTTTATAATTTCCCCTTTCATCACATTCATTTCTTTCGCTTGTAATTTGATATTTTCTGGTCTTTTACTGTGTTATCTTGTAAGGGTTTATGATATAGTTTTTTCTCCTTCATTCGCGAGCATCAGATGTAAAATGTAAACGAGAAAGTGAAACGAATAAACTAAGCGTGAAGATCATAAGGAAACGACAAATAATATTTTCTCGAAAATTCCTAATAATTTGCTACTTGCCTGTCAGGAAGCTTCTCTTTAGGAATTCCTTAAAAGCCGCCAACCATCATATCTTCCTGGACGTGTTAATAGTGCCTCAGACAAGGCATCCACGGTCTCTTCGGCGTCTTTTTCCATCTCCGTGATTTCAGCAATCTGAGCCTGGGCAAACGCAGAGCCAGGTCGAAGAAAGCAAGAGCAACCTTGAACACCCCGTCCTCTTCTGAAGTATTCCCTACAGCCAACCATTTTCCCTCAACCCTGTGACTGTCGTGCTATCAACTGCAGAAGCACTGAAGCGAGCATGAATCTTTATAAAGCGATCACACATGGCATTTGGACTCCGCAAGCCCACGACATCCCAGAGTCCACATTGAACTCCAACCGTGCCATTGGGGAGTATCTTATGCGCTTGGCCTGGAGTGCTTTCATGCAGGAGTCGAAACCTCCGACCCTTACATCTCGTGTGTCCAGACATCAGAAATCGCTCTGCCGAGAACCTCCAGCTTCCGCCCACGCTTGCCACTCTCCCACTCGATGACGTCCACGTCCTACAAAACATCTTTGCTTGGTGTTACAAAGCAACGGACCAGACCGCAAACCCTCCCTGCACAGCGGCTGATTCCCAACAGAACAAGAACCCTGTAATTCAGCAACATCCGTTGCCCCTTCCCACCGGTTTGAGTATCTCCCGGCATCTCCTGGCCGATCTCTGCCAGGGCCTCAGCCGCCTCGATAGAGCGTTCTGCAAGCTCGGCTTGGACCTGGGAGGCAACGGAGCTGTTTAGCCGAGGCGCCGAAAGGCTCAAGGTTTCGTTGCTTTACGGCTTTTGGCAGGGTCTTTCTAGGCCACCGCTTGCACGAGCAACGATATCCTCAAAGTCGGGGCTTCTCCAGTTTGGGGGCCGTTCTGGGATGCTGTCATGCGTAGCATGAGCCCAGCTTACGAGGGTGCTGGCCCAGGACGGGAATCTATAAACCCCACCAAGCCTCTGGAAACATCTGGAAACCCTTCTGCAGGCTCCCTTGTGCCTCGCGCCCTGACCCCATGACCCCCCTGGGCTTCCCCAACCTCAAAAAGCGCGCCCGCCTGGTTCAGCTGCTGGGATGCTTCATCAAGTTGTGCTTGCAACTCCTAAAAAGCACAGCGACAGTGATGTTCTCATAAAATCTCAGAAGCCTGGGCCTGGGTGATCGGGATTCGAGGCCTTGAGTGATCTAGCGGATCTAGCGATCTTGCGTTCCGCGAGGCTTTGGGCGCCATGTGTCCATGCGGGGCTACTGCGTAAGCATATGTAAGCGGTGTAATCTTGGTGAGCCAACGCTGGCCTGGATTCTGCGGTCCTTCTCCTGTTTTTGCTGCTCGCCTCGTTCCCAATGCAGACGAGCAATGCAGTTCAAAGGGCTGTCCCTTCACACGAGTTGCACACACAGTTTCTTGAAGCCAGGGGACTTTGCGACATGAGAGGCTGAAGTTCTTCTGCCTGACTTTGCAATCCACACTCCTGACCACGATGGCTTCAAAACATCCGAAGACACCTTGCTTGAGAATGTTATTGGACGGTCCTTAGCATCGTCCAGGGAAGCTCCTGGCATCTTTTGTTTCTCATCTTCTGCAGGCTGAACACCGTGGAACCGCGCTGGCTCCGGAGTTCTTTGTGAGTACTGCGACGCCTTGGCCAGTTCGGCCACCAACCGACCCACTTCCACCTGCAACTCCTGTCGCTCAGCCTGGGCTGCCAGCTCCTGCGCCTTCCGCGCCTCGAGTTCGGCGAGCTGGTGGTCTTTCTGCAGTTCGAGCACCTGCTTCTGGCTCTCCACCTGTGTCAGCTGAGACTGGGTGTCGTGCAGTTTGTCCCTCAAGGCCGCCTGCTCCTTCTCAAGCAGCCTGCACTTGTCGTCGCTCTCGGACCTCTGCTTGGCCATCTCGCGGCCGGCCAAAGCTGCCGCTTCTGCAGCCTCCCAGCCCTTCTCCGTGAGTTGCTTCCGGACCTCCTCCAAATCCTGCATGGCCTCGGTCAGCCGCGCTTCAAGCATTTGCTTCTCAGCCGCGCAAGCTTCCAGGCGAGCCCGGGCAGCACCCAGCTCCCCCTTCACGGTGCCCAGCTCCGTCTGGAGCTGGCACGCTTGCCGACTGTCCCCAGCTCGCCCCTGCTCGAGGCTTGCATCTGCTGAGTATGGCACAAATGTGGCCTCAAGTACTTTCCCGTCAGCTGTTCTTACCGAACTCTCGAACTTCTCCGCCCTGCGCGCAGCATCAGCCTCTACCCTTTGCTTGGCAAGGTCGCTGACTGCTGCGAGCTGTTGCTTCAAAGCCGAGCACGCCAATGCCGTCGCCTCAACTTCATTTCTGCTTTGCTGGAAGCCATGCTCGGCTGCTGTGCTAGCCTCCTTGTTTTCCCGAACATCCGTTTGCAAGGCCTTCAATCCTACGATAACCTCATGGAACTGCTCTTTGATTTGGGTCAGTTGTGTCTGGACTTGGTCAGAACTAGAGTGCCCACCATCGGCAGAATCCGACTCCAGCCTTTGCGCTGCTTGCGCTGCTTGCGCAGCACGCAGCTCCAGATCCTTCAGCCGCTCAGCCTGGGCTGCCAGCTCCTGCGCCTTCCGCGCCTCGAGTTCGGCGAGCTGGTGGTCTTTCTGCAGTTCGAGCACCTGCTTCTGGCTCTCCACCTGTGTCAGCTGAGACTGGGTGTCGTGCAGTTTGTCCCTCAAGGCCGCCTGCTCCTTCTCAAGCAGCCTGCACTTGTCGTCGCTCTCGGACCTCTGCTTGGCCATCTCGCGGCCGGCCAAAGCTGCCGCTTCTGCAGCCTCCCAGCCCTTCTCCGTGAGTTGCTTCCGGACCTCCTGCAAATCCTGCATGGCCTCGGTCAGCCGCGCTTCAAGCATTTGCTTCTCAGCCGCGCAAGCTTCCAGGCGAGCCCGGGCAGCACCCAGCTCCCCCTTCACGGTGCCCAGCTCCGTCTGGAGCTGGCTTGTCTTCAGCGTCTGCGCGCGCATGCCCTCAGACGCCTCAGCCAAAGCAACGCACAGCTGACACACCGCAGCAGATTCTCAAACGCGGCCTTCTGCAGCTCGGTCGACGATAGTGTGAAAGATGTTGGCACCAAGTCGTCCTGCATAGGTCCCTTGAACCAGAAAAAAAGCGCACGCACTATGCTACCCACATTCAACACCATAACTGCACGAATGAACTGGGGGGAGGGCTTGGCAAGACTTCCCCAAACCTGCAACTCTAAAGGGTTCGAACAGAATTTCCCACCTGCTCTGTTGCACCTCTCGATGCCTCAGACTGGCGAGGCAAAAGCTCTGTCTTGTCCTTGCGACAAACGCATGGGGCTCATGGTGGGCATCGAGCTTGGCTCTTTTCTCCAAGTCACAGAGGTGGCAGCGTGGGCGGGAGACCTGTCATTCACCGAGCTCACTCCACCTTCCATCCCTGACTGACCTAGCCATTGTCCGGCAGAGGCCAGTATGTTCAACGCAACAGCGGGCCTCAAGAATTAACAAAAAACAGCGATTCGAACCACTCACTATATGAGCCATGCCGCAGAAACTGCAGCGTCATCTGCTGCCTTGAAAAGGCTTCACATTGGGTCTAGGGCTTGGGGTCCAAGGGTGCCTAGCGCTGGACACAGGAGGCGAGGGCCATTGACAAGGCACGCGTTCAAAAAAGCTCCAAAAACTGGGAAAAACTGGGAGGGGGGTGGCCGGGTGGCAACTCCCAGGTTCAAGCACGGGCAAAGCCTCTTGTGTGTGGGGGTTGCGATTCTCGCGACGGTGAGGTGCCCAGACAACACTGCGTTGCTCTCACACCGGCACATGCGGACGAGGCCCTAAGTCATGGTTCAGGTGAAAGGGTGACACTCGCACACTCTACAGGGCGTACCCCCAGCAGGCTAGCCATTAATGGTATAGTGTCTCTCGCTGTTCGGCTAGGATCTCACTTTCAAGAGCTGGCAACTCTGCGACTCGACATTCATCTAAAGCCGCTGGGAGGCATCTGCTCATGACAATATCATCAATATCATGCACACATCCTCCTAACATCTCACTGAACCCACATCTCAAGACAAATTGTCCCAGAAAACGGACCTGCAAACTCACACCCCGGCCACTTGCTACACCCGGTCGAGAGGCAGCCGCCCTTCGAGCCGCTGTAGCTCGCCGTCCAGCACCTCAAACCGCTGCTCCGGCGGACCTCAATTTAGGGTTTTGAGTTTTGAACTCTTGCTGCCATCCGCCCAGCTGGGCCTAGCTAACACACTGCCCTGTGCCGTACTGCATGGCCATGGATTGGCAAACATCCGCATTCTCAAATTTGAGGGGGGAAGCTCGGCGAAGGTCGCCAGATTATGGCCCAAACCTCCAGTCCTAAGAATCCCCAAAGCTCGCAGAAAGCCAAAGCCTTTCAAAGCCTGGTGGCCCCTCAGCTCCAGCTCTCTCGCCAAGTCCTTCTTGCTTCTGACCCGGCAGTCATTCAAGTCCATGTTCTTATGTTCTGTCGCGAGGAGCAAGTTCCAGCAATACTCCTACCATTCGGAACCATATCTCTGGGTCAGTCCGGTTGCCCACATTCAGGTCCAACATGTCACAGATTTTAAGTCCTAAGGCTCGTCCTTGATCTCCTGTTGCGCCGCTTGCAGCCTGCAGCAACAATGGAACACGCCCAGTAGAGAACCACAGTGGCCCCGGCACCCCTATGCACCCCTATGCACCCCTGAGGCCCTGCTCGTGGCTTCTGTACAAATGCACCACTCAGCCAAGCAGCTGCGATAGCTGGCTTGCAAGTTCTGCACGCCTCGGTTTTGCAATCGCTCACTCGGCTTGGTAAGCCGTCGAGGTACAGAGGGACGCCCAAGGAATGCAAACGTGAGGGAAAGCGACGGGCACATTCATGAAAACCGTTAGTGAAATGAAGGAGAGAGGAACACAAAAAAACTGCAGCCGGGCCAACCCCCTACTGCAAGAGGAGGCTGCATGCACGGCCCTTTCCGCGGCGGAATGGGACCTGCCCCCGCCACAGACCGCGAGCCAAATAATTACGAAACTGGTCCCCCCTCCGCGACTTCCGGGCTTGTAGTGTTTGGGAGGGTTTGATGGTCAGTGTATGGGCTTCAAAGATTCTGGTTGTATGGTTCAGTGTCGGCGACTGAGACGTCAGGACTTGGGTGTGGCTTTAGGGTTTGGAGTCTAGAATTAAGTCGAGGATTGACGATGGACATCTGTCTGCACAACACGACCACGACCCAAAAGACAAACCTGTCAGTTGCTGTGATGCGGGTCAGCCGCAGTGAGTGTCTGAAGCATCGTGCCTACATCTTCCAGCTTAAGCAACACGCCATCTGCAAAAAGTGTCGCGGCACCGAGTGGGAAAGGATGGGAAAAAGGATGGGGAAAAGATGGAAAAGGATCAACAGGAGGCCGATTTATATGAGTGAGGATTCCTGGGTTTGGTTTCTTCTTTTTGTGGTTCAGGGCCTTCGAAATACCATGGGGCCTCCGTGGTCCAGTGATTCAGGGCTTGGGGTCGGATGGTCAAAAGACCTACACGGGTTGGCACCGAAGGCGGTCCCTTTTTCGGGGCAGGACCTCGCAGGCTTGAAGGGAGACAAGCAAGGCCTGGTGGGAGTCGACCCTTTGGCCCTATCTGCCTCTGAGGTACACCCTCTCCTCTCGCTTGGCGCTGCGAGCTGCCTGCACTCGAAATAGAAAAAAACGATGACAGAACTGCATCTGTCGCGGAATGGATCCAGGAGTCTGCCTCTTGCTGATAGCCGCGGCCCTCCTGCTCGATCCGGGAGTTCTCCTGAGATGAGGTGTCAATCTCGGAAGACAGGGGTTGAGGGATGATCGAAGACCGGAAAAAACGGGAAACAAGGGTTGCACGGCTGACGAGTTAAAAGGCTCAAGCATTCCGAAGGTTGAGGGGTTGGTAGTTGAGAAGGCGAAAGGCAGGATGGAATCTGACGTTGGTGCTCACGCAGGGGGCTTAACATTTAACATGTGCTTTGTGCTTTCCGTTCTTTTCCTTTGTGCTTGCTGTTCGATCTTCGCAAGGTCGTAACCTTTTCATACCTCAACCGCTTCATCTCCTAACCCATGCCCTTTCCAGCCCCTCAACCCTTCAAACCCCGATCTCGGAGCAGTCAATCTCTCAACTCCTACTTGCGTACACTTCATCCTTCAAGATTCCTAGTTTTTGACATTGCTTTCAGGCCCCGTGAATCTGTGTGCGACGGGTTGTAAAACTGAGCAGTGTGACCGTGTGTTTTCTCACCAGGTGCAAGCGTGGAACTCCGGCATGCTTCCATATGCTTCCTACCAGCGTACACGCAAGGCAACGATGCGTGAACATGGCGTTGATGCATTCCCTGCCACATCAAAAAGCAGAGGATCAAGACCGAGAGAGATTTAAGGCTTGCTTGATTCGGCACTTGAATCCGATTGGCCAATGCTCGAGCACTCCAGCCCTTAACTTCTAATATGGAACCGACCTGCTGTGAAGCAGCTTCACGCTGCTGAACCAGGTCCCGTTGCAGAGTTGCATTTTCCTTGGTCTGCTTTGGCGGCTTTTCAATGCTGACCTGGCTTGCCTGTGCCGCACCATCCCGTGCAATCACAAGTAAAGAAGAGCTGAGCTGCACCACCTATCAAGATGCTCCGAGACATGATGCAGCGGATTCGTGCAACCTTGTGCTGTCCAAGAAGCCAGCTTCAGCTTGATCACCTCACCTAGCGTGGACTAATCTCTGGGCACGTTTGGTCCCGCAACCGTACTGATGTCCCCCTCAACTTCCCTTCTTGAAGTGCCTCCCGAGAACTCACGGCCCGAGCAGGCATCGGGCAAACAAAGTTACGAAAGCAGCCATCGCTAGATTTCAGGTTTCGCCCCCCGTGCCTGACAGAAACTCTGAACCTCAGCTGGCAGGCGCAGAAGCCAGCGAAGCAAGCACAACATTCTCCGTGCAACTTGTAACTTTGTGATTATCGTAAGGATTCGTGTTCACTCTCTCCTCGCTCTGCTGCGTTTCTGCCTACCGATTTAAAGGTTTCCGGCGCCGATGATTTCTGCAGCGAAGGAAAGAAAAGCGAGGGGCACTCCTTAACAATGACTGCTCCAAACACCAGGTTCGTGGAGAACCATTCCGCCCAACTCCTTCTGCCACATTCTTTAAGCTCGGGGTCTCAGGCACCTCTCCGGTGCAGCTAAGCTGCACGGTCCGCTCTGCTATGGTCCATCGGCCAAACGACAGAACAAGATGTAATAAGAAGGCTACGGTTCTCTCTCTTCTCCTCCTTCTGTTGGGGCTGAGGGGGCAGGGTCTGAGCCCCGGTTCTTCTTGCTTGCTTGCAGCGCGCTTGGCCCCTGGTGAGGGGGCCGCCCCTGGTGAGGGGGCCGCCCCAAGGAGCACGCTTCACCGAGTTCGTTGGTGTGAAGCTGGTGCTTGGTGGAAATCCCGGTTCTTCTCTCTCTCTCTCTCTCTCTCTCCAGATGCAACTCTCTCTCTCTCTCTCTCGCTCGCTCTCGTGCTCGATCTGTCGCTCGCTCTCTCGCTCGCTTCTGCAAAAGCCCCAACACCTGAAAGGCTTCAACGCAGGCGGGAAGCGATTTTCGGACTCCTTCTGCTTGCTTTGCGCTTTCGCAAGCCTTCATGTTACGATCAGTTTTGAAGTTGAGAACTGGGATTGCTTCGCATTTGAAGCATTTGGTGGCACTTCTCATACAAGCACCTGAACCTCCTCGTAGCCAAAAAAATAGAGCAGGACAGCAGGACGACCTAGAAACCAAAATGTTCCAGGCAATCTGCAATCCATACGTCCAGAGGCTCGAAATAAGCTGGAGCATATGTTCATGTATGTGGTGCGGTCTCATGGAATCCATTCTTCGAGGCTGTTCCATCCGCCTTAAAGCCCCACCCCCCTATCCAACCCCAACCAACAACACGCAGCCGCACATCAATCTGGCCACGATGAGTTCCTGCATACAACTTCCCCTACGAGGCTACTCTTGCACTGACGTAGGCGCCGTAGGCGCCTCGCATCGCGCTCTGCGATGGCTGCCGCGGCCTCACCAGCCCGCCGCTTAGAATCCGCCAGCGCCTGCCTTGGCGCTGAACCGACCAACTTTTCGACATAACTTCGAACTTGTCTTTTTGTGTATCCAGGCCTCAGCCCTACGAATTCTGTGGGCTCATGCTCATCATCCTCATCGAATTCTGAAGTGTCCAGATTGTGAGGTACTGCGGCAGCTCTGCCAATATCTCACAAGCAGCCCTGACAACTTGTAGACGAAAGGCTCTGCGCTTTCCAGATCCAGACGGAGCTTTGCTACCTCTCCAGAGATCTGCCGCACACATGCCGTCAGTTCCTGGAAGAAAGCGTGGCGAGGCTGCTCGCGTTTTGGTGATGCGCCCAAACATACTTGATTTAGGTGGAAACCTCAGGGTGTGAAGAAGCATGCGATTCGTTCCGCTTTTTCTGGCTAGGTCAGGGGATGTGCCGATCTGACTGGCTCGGCTTTCTCGCTTCGGGCCAGCAGATGCAATTGCAAGTGTCGCACCAGCTGCCTATGTAATCGGCCGAAACTGTTGCCGAAACTCGAAACAGCCTAAAACGTCCCTCCGCCCTCTTGCCAGCGAAGTGGAGACCACTGGGACACATTGAGCACAAAACCGGGCCGGAAACATCTCCTCAGAAGAGGACCCAAAGCGTTAAACCCCTTTAGCCACAACTGTTACGAAGCTTGAACTATTTTGAACTCCTTTCGAGCCATCGCTCCTGGCTCTCCGCCTCCGCGTGCGCCACGCGGTCAAAGGCCATGTTGGCCTGTGCCTCCAAGCGCCCCACGGAGCCAAGGAGAGGCCTCTCCGGACAAGGTGTGCTTGGATTGAAATTGGGTGCTTCAGCACCCGATGCAGCTTAAGGAGAACTGGCTGCAGACCTCGCCCGGCACTCGAGAGCAGAGAGGGGGAGAGAGGGCTCAGGAATTTGCGGGCCAGCCCTGGATCGAGAGGCCCTTGCAGCGGCTTGGACAAGCTTGAACAGTCGGAGTGTCGAGCTTGGGTTTCCCGAGATCCCACAAAACCTGCAAAAAAAGCCCCCGTCGTGCGTTCAAGCGGCTCCTCCAACTCGGCCTTTGTACGGCTCACAGCATGATGGACGGCCTCCACGGCTTCTCGCTCGCGAACGGCCTGGCATTCTAGAGATGCTGCTCAAAAACAAAAACGCAAAGAATGAGCTTGGAATGAGGAATACAGGCAGAGATGTCGGCTAATGTAAGCGGAATTCAGCATACGGAGGTTCTTGGGAGGTTGCGCCTTACGACTTTTTATCTGGGGTCGCTTGAGGCCGCTTGGGGTTGCATGGTGCCAAGCGTCCATCACCTGCCGTATTTGAATGACCTCGTCTTCCATCGCCCTGAGCTTTGCCTGCCGAATAGAATGCCCCATGAATGGAAGCAATGGAAGCAAACTTGTGAGTGCTCTCGACCTCACCTTCAGCATCCTCCGACATCCTCCAACTCTTCGCCACCTTTGAAAGCCGCACCCAACTCGTGCCTCCAACTGCTCCTTCCGGTTCTCTGCTTGAAGTGCCCTGCCGATCTAAGCATCATCTCGAAAGCTTTTGGTTTCGAGGATTCAGGTTCAAAGGCCTCCAACCACCACCGAGGCTACCGTTTACGAGGGGCTGCAGAGCAGAAACCCCATTTCTAAAGGAAACCTGTGCACACTCTTTGGCCGATTTCTGAGGGGATCCTGCCCACTTGTCTAAAATCTAAATCGCACCTGCCTCGTGTCGCAAGCTTGCTCCTGCTGCTGCGCCAACTTTGCGGCCAGCTCCTAGCAATGTCGAACGCCATGAAGCACAAGCCATCTTCTGACATGACTTTTGCACGTCAACCTCGAGGCGCTCACTGGTGCTCTTTTTCACGGGGTTCGGATGGTCAGTAGACGCACTCTTTCCCCCTGTTCTTGCGTGTTCGAGCTCTCGAAAATTTTCACACCCTCTGTAGGATGGTGGGGAAGCAGCAGCCGACTGCAGGTTCTGCTTGGCGGTTAAACTTGGTGCATCTTTGGACTAAAAGGAGAAGGAACAACAGACGGGCAGCACAAAAAACGACACCCCCCTGCCCTCAGTCATGGTTGCAGTCGACACCACTCAATTGCGATCCATCATGAGCAGCATTTCTTTGTAGAGGTCCCAGAACTTTTGCACTGCCAGCACACAACCTAGGACCCAAGCCAGTATGCATGCGCTCGACACTGTTGCTCCCAGGTTCCCCTTTGACCCGCGCAACATTTTCGACTACCTGGGTCTGGGAGGCCTCTCCCAGACAAGCCCTCGGTCTGCTGCACCCCTGCCACAGCTTAGAGAGCACCCGCATCCTGGTTGCGAACAGACATCTCTTGAAGCGCTTGCTCGTGTCGTCGGCATGCCTGTATGACTGGCTGAATGCAGCTCACTCTGCAGCGGGTGCAGTGGCAATCTTGTCCGGAAATGGGGCACCTCGCTTTGCGCCGCCAGAGCCGTCTCCAAGCGCTCCAATTCCTGGCAGCATTGACGGACACCTACATGATCACCATATTGCTGCGTTCCACTGCCCACAGCACAAACTCCGTGGCAATTGACCACGTGCTTGTATTCTTGGCTGCGTGTTTTTGTCTGGGTTGTCCGACACAATCTAGCACCAAACAAATTGCGAAAAGCAACGGTGTGATTTGTTTAGAGCCAGCTGTGTTTGGCCGTGCAGAAAAGAGCCGCTCTGGGAACAAAGAAGTTGGTGGTACCAGCTTTGGTGCACATGGCAGCACTGCACACGCTAATATCCACTGCAACAATGATGATCATCACGATCATGATCAACATGATGCTCATGGTGATGTAGATGACAGCTGCACTGGGCATGAGCACCGCAGGCATACGACAAGCTCCTGAACACAACATGCAAGCTCATCATGATGGAGGCCTGTTCGGTGGCCTTGCCGCTGGCTGTGGCGTCATTGCGTCCTCCGGTCATGCTCTTGATGGTTGGGTGCTGGATACTGTTAGATACATTTAGATACTGGCAAGCGAAAAATGTACCTCACCATTATTTCGCGGCTGTCGGCTCTGGACATGCAGCTGCGATGTACAGTGTAACATATGTATGCTGCTTGCGTTGGCGATCCATGCGGCCTGACTGGGACTCTTGCAACACCTGGAGGGACTGCTGCACCTGGAGCTTCTCGCACTCTACCTGGCACACAGAAGAGAAGCTATTGAATCCGGACTTGGCGACTGCCAGCGAAAGCCCTGCAGAAGAAGAGCTGAAGCTGCATAACAGTTCTGATGCACACGGCTGTTGCCACTATCTATCGCGCACGACAGGGTGAAAAGCAATAAATCCCATGGCGACTCTGGACCAGGGTACAGATACGCTTTTCGTCTCTGGGATCCAACGCCGTTCCCTCCCTCAAGCAAGGACTTCTCAGTCAAACTCAAACTCGCTCATAGCAAAGTCGTCTGCATTGGATTCGCCGTTCACCTTCCGGGCAGCTCGATATCCAGCCTTGTATGTTGCATGAAGCTCGACAAGCTGTTCGGTTTTCACTTCTCCCTGGTTTTTACATTCTCCGTATATCTGGTCTTCTGCTCAAACGACTTGCTCATCTCTGCTGCGTCCTTAATGCACTGAGCAGCAGCTCCGGCAACGACAAAGAGTGGCATCAGATGCTCCGCAGCGCCCGGCGGCTGTGCCGCCCGCGCCGACGGGGCCGAAGCCCAGCGAGAGAGCCGCGCAGAGCGCTCCTCAACTGAAAAAAGCGAAGGTTTCCAAGGGTCTTGAACGAAGAACAACCCATCTGAAAAAGCTGCGACAACTAGCAGCAGCTATTGAATGGTAGGATAACCAGCTTTGTGCCGTGTGTGACATGTTCCGCGCCTCTGCCGTCAGCTCTTCAGAGGTCATTGTCTCCGTCATCCAGCGATCGAACTGTTGCGAGTGCTGTACTCCTTCTCGTCGCGCAGCAGGTTGTCTGGCCTCGCATAGCAAAATAGCTGAAACGTCTAAGGGTCTAAGCCTCAAGCTTCCAACAGGCAGTTGACAACTCGGCACAAAAAGTGATGCTAGGCCATGCTAAGCCCAAGTGCAAAGAAGTAGTCGAAGTTGTGGAAAGAAGCTCCAGATCCAACGATCAAGACACCGCGGTCACGAAGAGGCTGCAGGGCTTCGCCTGCCGCCATATGCGCTGCAGCGTCCTGGTGTGATCACGGAGAGATTTATCCTGACAAATGTAGTGCGCAAGGTTGACCGAAAGCACCCCTGCGTGGGCCTGGTTGCTGTAAAGGGACAAGGCGATCACAGGGATGTCTGCCTGAAGGATCAAAGGCAACCCCTTGGGCAGACTATGGCAGATTGAGAAAAAAAATGAAATTAAGGCCTAGGTCCCCAGGTCTGTCCTAGGTGATGTACTGGCTATCTGAAATCACGAGCAAAGCAGGCATGCACAATCAGGTGAATGATGCAGGGAGGACATTGCTGGCCCTAAACACCCAATGCAAACCCAAGCGGCCTTCGGGAACATTAACATCATGGGCACGAAAACTCCATGGTCCCAGCCACGCGCGGGGTCAGCAGAGCACTGAATCCCCTTCTCCCCCAGCAGCGACACAATCTGCTTTGCCAGATCCGGGCTTCCCGGAGCAGGGTACTGGTATTGGTAGCTTTCCTGTTCCAAAAAAAGTCACTAGCGGTTCCCTAAACCATACTAACCACACTGTTCATGCTGCCGGAACCGCGTATCCAAAAACCATAATAGGGTCACTGTGGCCTTGGGAAAGCCACCGTAGTCGAAGTACAAGGCATGAGTGTCACCTCCAGAAACTTTGAGGGCGGACCCGGTCTCCCAGTGCGCGGTCACAACAAGGATGGCCGCTGGAAGAGAAGGAAGCGAGGACCGGTAGCTCTGCAAGAACTTCGCAACGGCAGGCTGTTTACCCAGCAAAGGCATAGGCCCGCCGCCGTGATTGATGAACACCTCATGAGGCAACAACGTGGCGAAGCCGAGTCAAGCAACTGCAATACCAGGAATTACTGACCACTTAGCGACGCCATGGCTAGTCTGGACTCCATTCCAGGGCACACAAGGCATCCGCTTGCCGGAAGATACATCGGCCATGGTTGTTCCGGGCACTTTCTTGCTGGCCTGGCTGTGCACCGTCCCCATGCAAGCCAAGGGAGGCTAGTTTACTTGCCTGGCAAAGCTGGAGCCAAACATCTCGGATTCAATGGCAGCTGCAGCTCGTATGGATCCTAGATGATCGACTCACAGAAATAAAGGACTGAGAATCTAGCGTGCAACGCGAGCCGCTAGCCTCATCCAGCTTGGTGAGGGCCTTGCGAAGTTCTTGCTCCAAGGCCTGTAGTGCCGGCTGCTTGGCTTCGATGGCTCAAGCACGGGGTGGTGTTGTATGCATCTGCCGTTTTAAGAATCACAAGCCCGCATAGGCCCGCTAAGACGAGGTGGGTGCAGACTTCAGGTCAAATAGACACATGCCTTCCGCGTCTGCTCTGAAGACGACAGCAGCTGCTGTGCAAGGTCCTGGCTGAACAATTGGCATACCGTTCATTACAGCAACCACTTCAGGCATTGCCAGACATGATCTCGGCAGCACCACACTTGCTTGCCACAACCTGGCCATCTCCTACCATCAGATGTGGTATGTTGTGGTGTTCTTAATCCACCTCGCGAAAGCTCTTTTCCGAAAAGCTTATGATGGGTTGTTCTCTAGGTTTCGGAAAGGAGGAGTCGTCCCTGAGTTGAGTGACATCAGGCAAGGAAATCAAAAAATCGCCTAACCCACGTACCAGCAGAGATCCTTTCTTGTTCCATGCCATTGTCCAGCTTGTCGTCTTAAGTGTCGTCTGATGCCCCAAGATCCCGTGCCATTGTGGGTATGTTGAATGGTGGCCCCATGTGTCTCCTGGGCTTTGGAGGTTCAATCTCCAGGCCCCGACCCTTGGCCTCTTGTGACGTGAATAGCATTGGGGATGGGCCGTGCCAGTGATGCTCTCAACTTGCAATCACTGGCACCACCGGACGCATCCGGGCGTACGGCTTTCTTATTGTAAAGGCCCTGCAGAAAATGCAAAATCTCCCCTCCAGCATCAGATGGCATCCTCACGTAGAGTCGAGATGAAGTGTGGCTACTTTCGTTCTGACGTATCATCGCCCTATCCCGCCCAGAAGCCCCCGGCATACATCCACCAAGAACATTGTGTCGCAGTCAATGAAGTGGTCGGGTCCAGAGACTCGCTTGCCTCCTCTCGCCATAGTGGCGTGCCACCTCACCCAAGCACCACGAGAAAACAACGCTGCACCCAATGAGCTTTCCACATCGGTTTGATACTGCGTGCAGTGAAGGCATCCAAGCGACGTTTTCGCCTTCCCCTCACACCCTCATCCTCGGTGGTCTTCCTTGCATCAGCTCAGGCAAGCGAGGCTGAGGATTCAAGCTGAAATCTCTAAAGGCAGAGACGCTTCTCACCTATCGCGCTGTGCAGTACTTGACATGTTGCTCAAGAGCTCATCAAGCCCCAGAAAAGAAACAGCAGAAACGGAAATCTGACAGAGCCTGCACGGCAGGGCTGAGGCAGCTATCCAGAATCAGGTAGGATGTCTTCCATCAAGCGTGGGAGCTTGCATTAGTTTATTGTAGAATCTTGCAGTTTTCAGGCGTCTTCAGTTCCAGACTCGGTCCCATACCTAAAACTTTTGACATCTCTAGACCCTTAATGAAGCTCGTTGACTATCTTGTGTTGGGCTCGATTTCTGCGGCCAAAGTGTCGAAGCAGTAGCTTTCTGCGGCACCTTGCGCCAAGCAAGCACGCGGCACTTCGTAGCACTTCGTAGCACTTCTTCGTAGTCGTAGCACACTTCGTAGCACTTCCAGCAACGTCTCTTAGCTGGCGTGATTGATCGTCTTGCTTCACAGTACGCCGAAGAATGACCGCAAGTCTTCCATGATGCACAAAGTCTTCGTAGGCAAGATGCAGAAGCAACGAAGTTTCAATTCTGTTCGCAGGACAGTACATCCGAGCCTGACGTTCAGAACGGCTTGTCTTGCGCAGCTGCTCCTCCATCTTCTTCCTGAACCAGAATAAACTTGCTGCGTCTGCTGTATGTCTCAACACATGTAATTTTGAGACACGACATCGGAGTGGTCAGGTGCTATGAGATCCCTGAAGATGACCAAACCTCATGCCACGCCACCCTATGATGGACTCTTCCCCCCAACAAGCAGCCAAGCTTGCCCATGTTTGCCCTGAGCTAACCCGAAAATCCCGAAGGGCTGTTTCTAGGCGGAGACCACATGCAGGCCTACCAGCAGCCTAACTGTTTGAACGCGATCCTTGTCCTCATGCTTGCATTTCAAGGCTCCGCTGCTGCTCGCTGTGCGCCAGCCTCTCTCGGAGCTCCTGTATAGACCTCCCCAAACTTTAACGAACAGTTGTGGGGAGTCCGTCGGGTCTTGCCTGTGCACTCCCCTAGCCCAGCCTCGATTCGTCCAGCACGTCAGGATTGCGGCAACGATCTTGCCTGGAGAAACTTTCAGTTGCCTCCCCACAGCTGCAAGAAACACCCAGAAAGAAGAACCAGGAGCTGTATTTGGGAGAAGGGTTTTGAATCCTCCCCGTTCCCTCCCGGAGAAATTCGGGCACGGCATGATGACTTGGGGAAAGGTGTTGTGTGAGAGAACACGACAGACTACTCATCAAGCAGGGTCTGAGTCCTTCTCATGGTATCAATACGTTGGGCTCAGGACATGGGCAAGAGCACACATCTCTGCATCTCGGCGGCTGCAAACGGGAAAGCTCCTGCTGTGCCAGCCGCAATGCATCTGCGTTGTCTTGCGCGGTCTGTGCCAGCTCCACCTGTCGCCTGCATCAAGATTCCGTTGGCATGGCGAGCCTTTTAAAACGCTGTCGGAGGTTACGGTTTACACATGCAGTGCGGCGTTGCAACACTAACACTAACCGTCACTAACCCAACCTTGGCAACTCACCTGCGAATGGCAACTTGCCAGCATGGAGTTCCGTGTCTTGTCGCGATGTCTTACGACAGTTTCCGCAGTGTTACCTGCCTCTGTGACAGCCGCCTGGTCTGGGCCAGCTTGTCCTCTCCACAAGGATGTGGTTGGGTGGTTCGGACTCTCTGCAGAACTATCAATGGCACTTTTGCGACAAACTGCCTCGAGCAGCTGTACTCGCCGACACAATGGCTGCCAGAAGGGCCCAAACACGTCTTCGATGCGTACCTTGCAAAAAGTTGCGCATGATGGTGCACCAGCTCCAAGGAAACGTCGAGGCACAGCAACCAACGGTTTTGTGGCCCCTAACCTGTCGCAAAAATTGTCTTGTGGCCCAGTCTTCCAGGCTCTGGATGGTCCAGGGCCAGAACTTCGAACTGGGCTCACACATTTCTGACTCTGGCTCAGGTTTTTTTGCCCGGAACCGGTGCAGGCTTTGGGGACGATGGGACGAGCTGGAATCCTGAATCGGCCAAGTTCCTGAAACGACGCAAGTATCCTAGATTCCAGAACGGCCAGTTTCCTGATTCGGGCAGTTTCCTGAATCACACAGTTTCCTAAAGTAGGCAGTTTCCTGATTCGGGCAGTTTCTTGAATCAGGCAAGTCCCTGAACCGCATGGTTTGCTGAACCGCATAGTTTCCTGACTCATTTAATCGAGGCTAGCTTTCAAAATCGCGGAGCGTTCAATAGCCTGGTTTGGGCGCAGGGAGTTGCTCTCGGCTGGTTCTATTTGGGGTGGCTCGCTCTGACCTTGCTTCCCCATGCCTCAGTGCAATCCTGTGTTTAGGAGTTGCACCACAAGCTGGTGGAAATCTGGATCAAGAAGTCCAGGAACAGAATACAGCTGGATTGGGGAAAACGTGCGGTCGTTGGACATCTGTGGCCAAAATCAGTCTGGAGAGGTCCTGGACTCCTCCATACACCCAAACCAAGAGGTTTCCTTCTGCAGCTGCGTCGCCGACTCGCTTTGCGCCGGCCCAAGCAGAACTTGCAAGCATTGCGCCTTAGATGTGAGGGGCTGAGAACACTCTCTCAATGCAACTGCAAAATTACATACTGTGCACTGCAACAAAAAGCGACATAAAGCGATCCTGCATTCTCAGCAGGTTCACACCATTGAAAATTTAAATGCTTCAGGGAAGCGTTGAAGACTTGCGGGTCAAATGCGGACAATGAGCGCCTGCAGCAGAGTCTTTTGACTCACATGAAATGGACGTGAGAGCCAGACCCGTCCTTAAGGAAACTTGCGCCTAAGCACGGCGGCACTGACAAAGCCACTGCCATCCAGATCAAAGGTGCGTCGTATGTCGATGCCAGCCAAACGGTCCTCCCCAAACTTTCCCAGGCTGCAAGCACAGTCGAGCGGGTTCGTGCAACCAATACCCGCATATACATGCAAGCATGTTCCCAAACAGCTCTATTACACTGCATGTTGTGTTGCTACTACCTTCTCGCAAACAATATTCTGCAGCAACCCGTCCATGGCTTGGACCAGAATCTGCTCTCTGGGCGAGACGTTCCTGTGCCCAGACGCACCAAAAGCATGATGCCCTGTGCAGACAGCCCCTTTCATCTAGGTTCCATGATGTGCATAACATTGCATCAAGGTAGCTGTGAACTGACAGAGGTGGGCGAGGCCCTGGGTGACATGGGGCAGTGCTCGGCATGGTGGAGGTGATCGCCATCGAGGAGGCACTCGCCAGCTGCGAGGATCACGGGGGCACTGCGATGACCACCTTCAAATCAAAATAACTCCGAGCTTCTCGGCCTCTCTGTTCCGGCCCTTTTTGTGCGCTGGTCACACAATTTTTCTTGCGGCTGCCAGGCCACGCGTTCCAGCCGACCTCTTGAGCGGTCGCTCGCTCATGCCGCCAGGAGAGCACAGCCATCGGCCAATGAGTGGTTGAGTGGTTGTTGCCAGCGCATCAAGCATATCAAGCCTTCTATCTGCCAAGCCCGTGTCATATGCCAGACGCCTTCCACCTAACGTGTTCTCGTGGCATGTGCTGCTGAACTCCGTGTGAAACCTGGAGCCAAATCATACAATTCAACAAAGCGTCCAACTCTAAAGAGAGCAAAGGCGGCACCCTCAAGAAGCTCTGTAAGAGAAAGGTTCTTTTGCACCCAGGAGCTTTTTGCGGTTCCTTGCTTTGCCGGCTCAAAAGCGTACTGCTTTCTTCAGGGCTTGCAAGCCTCAGCCGAAGTGCAACCCAAAAATTGACCGCAGGATGGGCTTCCAAGGCTGTCAAGGCTGTGGCGTTCACTTGCCTTCCTCGCTCGGTCACGGAGCCTTTCCCGAAGCAAAGAAGAGGACCGGAGTGAAGATAGTGAAGACCAGTCAACAAGTGGGAGGCGGACTCTTCCATTGCTGGCAGCTTAGTCGCATTGACCCGAACGCTGTCAACCTGAGTCAGGGTGGTCCAGCCGTCATTGGTACCATCAAAAAGGGACACACACTAGCAACGGGTCAGCACACTGAGTACATCGAGGGGACGACACTCTGCAGCAATGTCTCAACAAATCCGGCCACCTGCAGGATCTGAGCACAACACAACGGTTCCCTTCACACTGGTCCACACAACGGTCCACAACGGTCCACAACGGTCCACAACGGTCCACAACGGTCCACAACGGTCCACAACGGTCCACAACGGTCCACAACGGTCCACAACGGTCCACAACGGTCCACAACGGTCCACAACGGTCCACAACGGTCCACAACGGTCCACAACGGTCCACAAAGTCCACAAAGCTACAAAGGCAGGAGATCTCCAGCCCCCCCAGGGTACCTCGGCCAGCTGGAAAGAGGTCTCCATGTCGCAGAAGTTGGCCTCGACCTCTGCTGAACAAAAACCCTATTTTGAGCCCTGTTCAAAACCAAATCTTCATCAGTTCTGTCTACACTGCCCGGCGCGTTGACAGCAAGCGAACAAAACCGGGGCATGTGCTCGCTTGGCCAGCGATGCGATCTTGGCTTCTGCCTTCACGAGCACTTTTGTGCTTTGCACTACCCTTCTGGCCCCGGCGCGCCTTGTTGAAGCAAGACATTCTCATACTTGCTTCCAAACGTATGAAGTTTCATGCATCTTTGCGATTGGCCGCCTCTCCACCTCCCTATATGGAGCTCCCGTGGCCCATACGCCCCAGCCGTAATCTGGCCAGGCCATAGCTGGTGGTAAAGAAAGCGTCTGATGTTGGCCATGCCGAGAGCAAACATAGCAGGAAGGCACTGTTCTCGATCGACATTTTTGCTGGCAGCCTTCTTCAGAGTAGACGCACCGTGTTGTCGTTGCAAGCCGGAAGCCAGCCAGTACCCCTCCAAGTGGGCGAGCGCTGGCTTACATGTGGATGCAATGGCAGGATTTTGGATAAGAGCCTGTGCTCGTTGGTGCTGTTGTTGGCCTCGTGCTCTTGCTGCGTATCAACAAGAAGAGAGCTCCAAAGGACAACAGGCCAGAACGGTTTGTGTAGTCAGCTGGTAGGTGTTAAGAAACATCCCGCACAAGCGATGCGCCGCAACGTCGCTCGAAGCCGAGTGCCTCGGTCAACTCCTGGGCTTGCTCCTGCATCCATCGGGCGCCCTCTGTAGCCTCGGGGCATGCAGAGATGCTTCAGTGATGCTTCACTTGTGCCTCGCGTGTTAATCCCGGTGTTAATCCAGATGCTTGGGAAGCAGCAAGGTGGAAGCCTTCCCGGAAAAGGAGGAGAATGGAACTCGCAGGTTGCAATGTCACAGCTAACCACAACAGCTGAGCACTCGAACTTCCACGTCCGCAGGTAACCGGGCATCCTGCATCTCTTTGGTACTGTCACGATCACCCAGGACATCGTCTCGAGATGCCTGCAGAAATCTCAGCTGCACTCATGACAGATGTACTTAACTCACAAGTTTAGTCTTGGGCCGTCTTGCCCTTGGATATGAGGCGCAACTCCGACCTCGAAGCAGCTTGAAAACTGTGCCGGTGAGATGCCCGACATGCGACCACGCATGGAGCCAACACAGGCAAGCATTCCGTGCAAGCGAGTGTGTGGCGGAGGAATTCCCGGTGGCAGCATCTGCGCTGCGAGGTAGTCAGCAATCTCACCAAAGGTCACCTGAAAACTTGCATGGGTGTGCATCCGGTACCAGAACCCTGCAATATACAATTTACAAACTTGAAAGAATGGGGAAGACATAAACCAAGGGGAAGAACATTGGATAATTACACCAGCGAAGACCCCAAACAGAATGTGTCGAAAAAATGCCCATTCTTGCGAGACAAGATAGATACCCACGTGCCGAGACTTTTGCGCCAGAACGTAGAAGCTTGAGATAATTACAAGAGACATGCTGCCTGCCGCCGCAGCTTTTGTTCAGCGCCGACGACATGCCACTTCCACCCACCTTCCATTCTTCCACGCCGTATACCCTTGTTTTCGGTAGAGTTTCTTCAAGAGGAAAGGATTTATTGAACGTTTCAAGGAAACCAAGGGTCGCTGACATTCCGAGCACGTGCCGGAGTCAGCACGAAAGAAATTTGTTGAACCACCCTCCTGCCGAGGAGCGGGATGCGCCGGTAAGCGCGAGCGTCAATGCTACAGCATACGCAAGGAGTGTGAAGCATCAAACTCATCAAACTGTAAGCTTCCCATGCATCCCTTGCAGGAAAAGAAAAATGGATTGCACTGATGTCTGTGAGCTCTCAGTATACATGTCAACCAATGTTTATGCATTCGGTTGAATTTGATATTCAATACTTCCGATGCACACACAGAATGTCCGACCCAGGAGCCTGGGCTACAGGAAGGGGTTAATGGGAGCCCAGCCCTGTCCTCACCCGACCCAAGAGCCCAGAATAGAAGAAAGGGAGGCATGAAAGAAGCCCAAGACAGGACCCAAAAGCCAAGAAAGGGAGATGGAAAGGCAGCCCGGCCCACCCATCCGACCCAGCAAGCGAGCCCAGCACCGTCATGAGCTCAGAAGGGAAACATGAAGGGAACCCACCGACACAGGAGCCAGAAAGGGCGTGAAGAGAGCCAAAGGTCCGTCGCCGCGACCCACCCATCCGGCCGCCGTGGCCCGCCTTTCATCTGAGGCGAGAACCTTAAACCGTTCCTGTTTGGGAAAACATAAGCAGGAGTGATGAGAAGGTGATGAGAAGGGACAACTCTCCGTTTTGGCTCTCCTCCAGCTGACAAGGTTCGTTAGTTTGCTCCGACCTTGTTCAAGCCCTGGGGAACTCGGATTCGGTAGCGGTTTGACCTCGGGGTGAAGACCGCCAAAGGTAGGCCATAGGTTCACAGGTCATCAACCAGCAACGAGCAAGCGCCAGAACAGCCGAAGTCTCAAGGCAACTGAGAAATGAGCCCCTGCCGAATGAGCACCGAGCCAGGCAAGGCCTGGCAGACGCTGGTTCAACATCCGGGCAGGTACGAAAAAACCACGGCCGAGATCAGCTGCGCCGCCTCGTCTGCGCCTGCTACGCAATCCACCCCTAACGAGGAGTCTAAAAATGACACACATCCGGCGACCACCTAACATGGCTATTTAGTTTCTGCTTTCCTGTTCGGCCTGGGAGGACTCCTTCGAGAACAACAGGCTCCTGGGCGTCGGCCGCATTTTCGGCCTGCCATGACAGGCACAAACTACACGCATTGTCTTGAAGTGGCTGCCACATCGCTGGAAAAGCTGCGCTTCTGGCCTCCGCTGTTTCGGAGACAGGAGCTGATGCCTGCACTTCGCTGCTCGCAACTGGAACCTTATGCTGGCTCACGCAGTTCTTTGCAAACTCCTTTCACACTCTTAGCCTGAACGACCAGAACAGAATTGAAGCTTCAAAACTGAGCTAGTCGCAGGAGGCGCAGGCATGGCATAGCCGGGCACAAGCCTGGGTAACGATGCCTGAAAACATTACTTTGCTGTCCGCGGGCAGCCCAGGGAGTTGGCATAAGCATCAGCTTAGTCTTTGCACCGACACCAGCGGCCGCCAACCTCGAAGACACAAAGGGTGCGGAGACTGTTATGGAAGAGACCAGGGACATCTTTTTTGAGACAGCTGTAACACGTTGCAACACACAGACACAAACATGCTCTTCTCTTCCCGTGTATCCTCTCTGGGCCTCAGACGTCTCCCTGTCGTCCTTCCGCTCCCGCCCGTTGCACAGCAGCCGCTGCCTCGAAGCGCTCTCTCCTAAAGAGGAACGACACCGAGCCGTGTTACGGCGTGTGTTTTGCATCATCTTTTGCCTTGTATTATGTGAACACTCTGTCTTTGCGTTGTTCTCCTCGATGTTAATTCCCACACATGCCAAACAGCATGTGCAAGGTGAAAAGCAGGGGCCGAACTTTAAAACCAGAAACATTCTGGCGCACCACAGTTTCAGTGGCCGCTTCTCCCCAGAGCAGAAACGACAAACATCGACTTAAAAAGTCTGGCTTTGTCTCTATGCAAGGCCCCAAAGTTCCGTCATCTTTGAGGACGCTGCTGGGGCTCCCACTCGAACAGGCAGTTCGTAGCATTTCATGACCATGATACATGATGTCACTGTCGGCAGAAGCTCTGGCCAACATGCAACAGTGGGAGCACACTTGGAAAGTGTTGGAAGCAAGAAAAAACTTCTTGGCATTGCAGAGCTTCCATCATTGTGGTCGCTCCTGAAGCACCCTCTGCACTTTGAAACAGACTTTGCCCTCAGGCCGCCAGGACACTCGCAAGAAGGCGTCACCTTACACACTTGATACCCTCCACCCACGGAAGAGTCAGAGAAGTGCGACAGACGAGACAACTGTTGCGGACGAACCTGACGAAACGGACTGCACAGAATTGTCTGGTTAAGGCAACCTCGCTTCCACAACAAACCCTCCCACGGCACCACATGGTTCAAAGCCTGGTCCAGGCAGCAGCCTTGGCCAATCAGAGGCGGCACTTTGTTTTGGGAAGTTACGTTTCGGTTTGGAAGCACCTGCGAAAATTTGAGAAGTTACCGGGATCCACTCTATGCTACCAGGACACTTGTGACTGATGACCAAGGCCCCAGGGCGCATTCTGCGCGCTTGGGCTGCCACGGCCTGCAAGAAAATTGAGCTCAAAGGTGAAGGTTGGACAGCCGGTAGGGCAGCTTGGTTCCTCCATCATTGCGGGGCTGAAAACCACCGAGTTGGCCCAGACCAGATCCTGCCACATGGTGCAAGCAGGCGAACTTCGAAAAAACAACCTCCTGGAACACTCGCAACCACATGCACGGCGGTCCGCATCTGAGAAGTCGAAATCCAAGAAGCTCATAAGAAGGAAACGAGGCTGGAGGGGCTGCAAGCCTAGCCAAGCTTGGCATTCGCAGAAACGAGAGGTTTCCGAGAGTTCTCCAAAACAACACCTCCCGATCCTCCCTGCACCTCTTTGAGATCGCGAAAATGCATTGTAAACAACTAGCATCAGACGGCTGGGAGGGAACCTTCGGGAGGCCTTGCGGACTTGCGGGCTGAAAAGTCCGGGGCCCGGTCCTGGGCCCGCTCAGGAGTCTAGGAAGCCTTAGGAAGCCTTGGCAGTTCTGGAATCCAACAGGCCACATTGCTGCCCTGGTTGAGGGCCGAGGCGGCGCAGCAGGTCTTGCGGTAAAGCGGAAGGAAATGCAGTCAGGCCGTTGTCTGAAATTCAACCACCACCGGCCCCGATCGGTACACAAGTTGCCCTCTGTCGAGTGTGGGGTATTTTGCATCTTTATCATGCTATTCATGCTTCACGTTCGCATGCATCCGACACATGCGTCTCTCGGCCGCCTTGCAGGCCAACATCAGCCTGGCGAGGGGACATGTGCAACACTGCCATTTTGAGCGAGCAGCCTCTGCTCGACTCAAGCTTGCGTCCAAATGCCAGGCCTGAGCTCGCAGCATGGCCTTAGCCGCGATGCCTTCACAGCGCATAGACTCATCAAAGACCGGATCCAGCTTCTAGAAGCCAAGGTGGTACCAGAGATCACCAGAGGCTACGTTCTGCCTTTTGATGTCATGTCATTCTGTCATTCGGTGTCCAACCAAGGCAGGCGTCAGGCTCGTTGGTGTCGCCCGGGCTCCAGCTCAACACCAGTCGCTTGGAATCCCAACAAAGCGGCCAAGTTCACCTGAGTCTCAACTTGACTACTGCCCATCAAATTCCAAGTCCAAAACTGCGCTAAGCCCCCGGCAAGCTTTCCAGTGCCGCTTCCAAGGTCCTCCCAACTCTAAGAAAAGAATAACGGCCAAGGACAGCTCCGTGAACTGGGCGAAACTTGGTGCGACTTAAGCGCACTGGGCATTGCAACCATGTCACATAAACACACGCTGGGGGCTGCAGGTACTCCCCCAGGAGCTCCGCAAAATCCTGCTCGTTGACTTCGCCTTTGACGCCAGCCGATTCTAACATGCACGACTGCTAGTCCACTGCTGCACGACTCACACAACTCTTGAATTGCCTCACGCCTCGGCACACCCAACATGCACACCGGAAAAGCAGAGATCTGGAATTGCAAAGGTCTACCAAGAGGCCATACAAAGCCGAATTCGTGAATCCGTTGGCATTCTCCACTGCCAGGTAGCCTCAGGTATCCATAGTGCACGTTCAACGTCATTTTATTGGACGTGCGAGGAATTGGAGGGCCAAGCTGACGCGAGTAGGCGCCTGGCCCTCCCAATCTGCTGCGTCGTCGCCAAAGCCAGTTCCAGCATATGCGCGCGAAAGCAAGCTGAGCGGGACCTGTGACGCCCGCAGAGTGAACTTAACATCACGCGAGAGGTGCTGTTAATATCTGTTAATGCTGTTACGAGGCCTGAAGGTTGCTGCGGTTGCTGCCGCACTTCTGTTCGGCATCATGGTTCGGCCTGAGCTGAAGTACAGACAGCCGTCATCAACCGTCACAACTTCAGCATCATCAAGCAATGCCAAGCGGCTCCATGTCTTCCTCCTCCACAGTAGTCTGGCCACAGCTGCTGACTGCCTGAAACCATGCGCGGGAGCAGAAATTCAAAGACACGTGCATGATTGCAAACAACTTTCAACAGCACATAGCAGCAGTATGCACCAATGGTAGCACGAAGAAAAGAATCGACTCCACAACATATGACACTCCTCATCAGAACAACAAATGACGAAACACCCGCGAACACCTGCTGCGGCCACCCAAACTAGGCACGCAATGACACTTTTCAAATAATCAAGTGACGACACCTGTGCATGTCTACTTTATCGGTGGCATTTTGGGCTCGGGGTTCTGCATGACCCTTTGAGCCCTAGCCCTCTCTTTTTCAAAGCAGCTCTGGGCTCCTGTGATGGCCTCATGCGCAACAAGTTTAAGCTGGTTTAGCACGCCGCTACGACCACACTTACTGGCGGAAGTGTCCAGTCGATGCCTCGTCGGGTTTGACCAGTGGCACTTGGACATCGTGATGAAGGACCTGGCACAAGAGTCGGTGCACTGCGGCAAGAAAGTCACTCCATAGGGGCGTATTTGTCTTCCTTTTCAAGGCCCAAAGACTCTTGGAAAGCAAACAACCGGCTTTGCCGGCTTTGCTCTGCGAGCTGAACATTGGTAAAGTGGTAAAGCTTTGCACATTCAGATCGTTTTTTTATCTTGTGGGAGAAAGCGGTCACACGTTGCAACCCAAAGGACGCAGGTTGCCACGAAGACGCATGAGCATGATGCATAGAGCCCTCCCATGCCTTGATTGTTCAAAAGGTTGATGCCAATCGCGGGAGTGACCACCCGAGCTGCTGAGAAGATGCAATGCTCCATGCCTATAAGCGTGCCCTTCATGTCCTCAGGCACAAGTTGCGTGTTTTCGGCGGTGATGCTGGTTGCCAAACTATACTGGAAGATTGCCAGAATCAGCGCTATGGCAATGTAACTGCACTTGTGGACCATGGGATGCAGCAAATGAGAAATTCCTGTGACATCAGCGTTCAGCACCGACTGCAAGCCATAACCAATTGCCATGGCTATAATACAGTTTCGTACAACAACACGGGGAGAACCGCCGAGAAGCTTCGTGACCGGACCGAGAAGTACCGCGTTCGCGATGGCACCAAATGCAAACTGAGCAGACATGACAAAGCCGAGGTCAGCCTCAGCAAAGCCCAACTCGTTCTTCAACACAAGATTTTGCGTGGAGGAGGCCATGGAGTTCGATGTAGAAGTGATCAGCTTCACCATGCTCAAAAAGCCGGCCGCTCTAAGCACGATACTCATTCGTTTAACCCAGGGCAGCTGCTCTGTATGTATTTCCGCATCCTTACTTTCCTCGGAGATCTTCTTGACACCGCTTGGCAATGTGATGCTCGCAGCTGCTGCCAGAAGAGAGCCAGCCACGGCAAGCTTCGCACTCAAGAAGTAATCACCCTTGGCACCCAGAAGCCCTCCGCAGTATGGCCCCACAATGCCTCCAATGGTGTAAGCTGTGGTGAGGCGGCCAAGTGCCTGGATGCGTTCCGGCCCAGCCGGGGTCAGCTGACTGACCGCAGTTTGTGCACACAAAAAGCCGGCCATGCCGATCCCAGGGATCTTGGAAGCGTAGAGCATCTCCATGGAATCAGTGATTGACAATAAGAAATACGTGGCAGCACACGCCAGGAAGTTCAATAGAAAGCCGATCCTCACACCTGCCTTGTCCAGTATGTGCCCGAACAAAAGAGAGGCAAACATTTGAATGCCTGAAAAGAGTGACTGTAGGCGCCCGTACGACACGCTGGCATCTGTGACTTTATCCTTGCCCACCAGCCGCTCCACCAAGAAGGGCTCCAAAGGAGCTTGCAACTGGTAGCACAGGGCATACAGGACTACGAGGCCGTACACCAGATAGAGGCTTGCCGAAGGGCTACGTGCGGCGCCACTGTGATACGACATGACTTCGCCAGTCCAGTATCTAGAAAAGGTGCTGTAGAGGCTTAACATTTGAGCCACGTGCAGTACATGTTCAGCGGGTCTCACATCATGTTTGCCGCTGATGGTTGTCATTCCACAGTTCATGTTTGTTCTTGCAAGTTCCACACACCTATCTTCCTTCCATCCAACCCTTTGGGCAAGCGGAAAAGTGCGTGGGCAACAAGAAAAGCAACAGGAAGAGCCTGTGGCGAAAATGACGTTGGGGCATCGCCACTGCGCCTGCATTCGTGCCGCTTGACGACAGTTTGCTAGTGGGTGTGACGCACGGCGAACCTGCGCCCACACATGGAACCCATGGCTGAAATGAAACATGTGAAGAAATGCTGCTGTATCAATACTGTGGTCTTTACGGCTTCAAGCGCGGTGCAAAGGACACATGGTGGTAACGCATGCATTATTTGTGATGGCAAACCTCACACCTCTCAACTTTCTGTGTTTAACATGAGATCGTCCCTCGGGTTATCGTGTTGCCGATCTAGATTGAACACAAAATGTTTTCTGCATTGGTGCTCTCGCAATCACATGGTGTAAATCTCAGGCTGTTCTGCGGGGATTGCCGTAAATGCGCCGCATTCTGTTGCAGCATTGCAGAACATCCGGATGCACCCAACAACTTGCATTGGGCACGCAACACAGGCTCTGGCTTGTCCGGTGGCACACAGGTCTCGGCCTGATGAACGTCACAGTTTGCCACAAGGTTGACCACACTGCAACTTGCCTCGACGAGCCGCTTCACCTGGACAAATAGTGAAGTATAGTGAAGTGCAAATGCATTCTTCAGTCATTCTTCAATGAAGTACTTGAAGTACTTGCCCACATGTGTATGGCCACGGCCTCTGCAAAGGTCGTCGACGCTTGACATTCCAGCTCGACCTTCCAAGGCATCAGCGTAACTGGAACGTTTTCGTGTGCAAACGTCACTCACAGCAATACGAGTCCGTTGCACAACGCCTTCCGCTTGTCCGGTGTTGAAACGACCAATTTCAGCATGGCATTTTAAGCATAAACCCTCACGGATGCAGAGCACCAGGCCTTCCTGGGTGGGAACTTTCAAGGGTATGGCTGTGGTGGCTAAAGATCATTGGAATTCTGCAAGAATCTGCTGTGCAGCTATGAAGTCGCACTGCTTTGCTTGGAGCCCATAAAACCAGCGTAACACAACCCCAACAATAACACGCAACACGCGGCTTTGTTCCAGCAGTTTCCAGCACTTGGCACGGTCCCCGCGCACGGTCCGTGCGGACTGCGCCAAGCAGTACAGCATCGTGTCCAAGCTACAAGTTGCCAGGCTGCTAGATACTGCTAGGGGCCCAGTCCCGGCACGTCCGCCAGGACCCGGCTGCTTACGGGTAGGGACTGCCGTGGCAGGTGCTGCACGAGGACGAGTAGGAGCTGCACAGTTTCCGTGTAGCCTGCCGTAACCCTCAAGGCCGATTACGATGGTACATGATGGTACGAGCGAGCGCTTTTGTTACCCCGCAGGTCAGATGTTACCCCAGCCCAGTAGCACAGAAGTTACCCACGTGTGCAAAAGTTGCCCCCAAAAGAGGCGGTTCAGCGGTCTGCAAGACCCATGTTTTCAAAACAATTTCGGACTTCACACCACCGTACCTCCGAGATTGCCTTCTTGGGAGTTGTGGGCTCGTGCAACGCAAGGCACTCAGTCAGCCACGCGTCTTCCTTGCCTTGCCGAAGATGACGATGCCTGGCAAAGCGCATGCGAAGAGCTTCTCGAGGTTGTCAGGGCTAGCAGGATTTGGCTCCGGGCCAAATGGCGTTTGAGAGCTATCGGAGCTATGTGGTTTTCAGCTTTGGCATGCCTAATCGCAGTGCAGTGGGGGACATGGACGGGCCGCACACGCCTCATGCTGGTATGTGCAAGCATTGTCTTGCCCCTCGTCAGTGAGGTGTTGCGCAGACACTGGCCTCAATCCAATGATTGGTCAGACACGCCACTCAGACGAGGAACAGATTCAGGAGAGCAGATGAATGACACAATGACTTCATCCCCAGCAGTGCCGAGCGAGAATGTTCATGTTCGCGGAGCTTCGACCGAATTGATGCAGTCACTCACTTCCTTGGCTTGCGTACCGTTGCGCGGAGCCCCGCCACCACCTGCCTCTGCGCTTCGCTGGCGCCCGGCGGGTTGGGCAAGCCGTGATGGTGATGGACAAGCCTCCATACCAGGATTTCAAAAATGAATATGGTGTGGTGACAAACGCTCACGAGTCGGGCTTGGTGGACATCTCGCTGTGCAGCGGCGCCCTGCTGTATCAGGTTAGTGGCGAGTCATTGAAGGTAGCGCAACTCACAGGTGACGAGCCTGAATGTGATCAGCTGGCCAGTATTTGTTCGAAGGCCCTTCAGCCGGATTCCGAAGTGAGAGGACCATTGCCCAGAAGTGATGCCAAGGACAACCTTTATGCTCCCTTGTCTATGGCCACGATCGAAGCCACCCAGTCACAGGCGAAGCTGGTCAAGGGTTTGCTTGTCAAATGGGCGGCGCGTTCTGCGCTCATACCCAGCTGGTCTCGCAACTTCTGGAAAGAAGTGGGCGACATCGGGAAGCTGGAGTCTCGTGTGGAAGCACTGCTGCGGACTTTCGGCTACCTCGGTGCAGGCAGTGGAACACCCCCGCGCACCTCGGAGCGCAAAGAAAAGCTGTCAGAATTGGAAAACAGTGGGGCGTTAGCCCATTCCACGCCTCTCTTTGACAATGGGCTTTTGGACGCGGAGAATGCTGTCGAGGATGACGACCTTGGTGGTTGTGAAGCATGCATTGAAACGGGCTGGACCAGAAATCTATGCTTCGTTCCGAGCGTGGGGTGCAAGAAGCGCGCGCGAATGGTTGAACCAAATGATCCCATTTGATCGTCGAGGCGACGCATTGTATTCGGATTTGTTCAATCAAGCATCATTGGTCGACTTTGCCGTGAAGGACGCCAAGGGTTCGCAGGCTCAGGCTCTCTCCCTGATTGCGTGCAGCGACACAGCAGAGGTTGCCTTGAGGACTTATGTGCACGAGAAGCGAACAGGCGATCGGGATGCAGCAACGTTTATGCTGGCCATTAAGCCAACGAATCTTTCCCATGACATTGCGCCGGCCTGGTTGGTGTCGGAAGCATCGTTGTTTGCCCAAAGCGAGCACAAACGCGGAGAGTCGTCTACCTCCAAGGGGGCACCCAAAGGCAAAGGGAGCTGGACGAGGACGAGGAGCTAACAGGGAGGTGGCGGCAGACCGGCCGCAGCAGCCACTCAAGGCTGACACCGCGGCGGCCCCTCATGGGCAGCTGCTGGCTCATGGGGGCGACGCCGCCAAGTCAAACAGCAGAAGACGGAGGAGCAGCCACAGCGCATTATGAGCTTTTCCCGCTCCCAGTGCCGCCGCAGCCGTTGTTTCCAAATTCATCCTCCGCTCGTTTGAGAAACAGGTTTTCCAAGAGGTTGCGGCTTTGGAAGTGCACAGTCGGTTTGATTCATTTTCTGAATTTCATGCATGTGGGCACGAACAGACACAAGCAGAAGCTCTCCGAATCAGCGGCGCGGGCTGAACCAAATCAGGCGCACAGAGCTGTGTGGAGACACCTGTTCGAGTTGAGCAGAGCTGGTCTTCGGGTCCGCCGGGAGGTCACTCCGACAGGCGGCCAGTCAGCTGTTGCGGTGCTCGTCAAGTCCGCCAAGGTGGACGCGATGGGTTATGCATCAGTTTCCAAGACGCATGCCCAAGTGCCCATGGAAGCAGCACGTATCGTGGAGCCTTCGGATGAACACGTGGTCGACATGTTACAAGCATTGCCATGTGACGAAAGCCAGTTTCCTTCCCACGAAGAGAATGTCATTGATCATATCGGAAAGAGCACAGTTATCCAACACGAGCTGGAACAGCAATATGCGTTTGTAGGCGGTTGCTTGGACGAATATGAAAGCTACTTTCACCGCCAGGATGTTCCTGCCAGCATGTGGGAGTGGAGGAGGCTCTTCCGTGATGTCAAGGCAGTCGCTGGTTTTTCGGTGGTCAAGGCTTCCTGTCACTTACACTCCAAGCTTGACAATTGATCGCAGCGGTGGAGTTTCATCTTTTGCCCCTGAAGGGCCTGCTGCCTTATTCCAAGCGTGTTGCAAAGGGTTTGTGCAGGGTGACATCAATCAAGCATACTTTACCTTTGCTTTCGGGGCCAGCCAAGTTGTTTGGAGCGCTCTTTGTGGCGGCAGGCTTCCCTTGTTTGGCAATTGGGCTTATGGTCCAGTGCTTGACGGTGAGCTGCTTGGACTGCACGAGCAGGATGTTCTCAGGCCAACCGCTGCTTGTCCAAAGTTTGCATTTCGTTTGGGAGTGGGCTGCGGTACAAAAGTCCGGCGTGAACAAGTTGCATCTCTTCATTGGGGCCGTGATCCAGTGGTGGCTCGTGTGCTTCAGCAAGTACTGTACGAAGCGGAGCCTGAAAACTATTTGTTCAATGTTTCGTACGCTCAATATCGTGGACTCTTGGCCCGAGCGGAGGGCGGACATCCGACAAAGGGGGCGTGGGGCGTCGGAACAGTCCTTCAAAACGTACCTCGACATTGTGTCCGCCTCGCAGGTTCAAGCGGCTTTTCACTTACGGGGAGTGGGCGCCGCGCAGGAGCATTTTGGCGACTATTTCCCGCCTGGTATTTTCAGGTCAGGTCATGGCTCCCGCCCTGCTGGACGTCGAAGTCCCAGTACCGCCCGTCCTTCCTCTTCCAACCTCCACTCCTGGGCGCTGGCTACGACCTTCCAGGGCGCATACGCTAGTGCCCAGAGTCCGCCGAGCCGTGTCGCGTCCGCCAACCTCTGGTGATCTTCAAGCGCGGGCGGCTCCTGCGGCCCCCTCCGCCGCTGCGCGTCGCACTCCGCGCAGCCTGATGCGCTCACGTGTGAAACGCTGGTGGGCCCGGTTTGCAGCGTTTGGCAGGAACGGAGCCTGTTGGTTGCGCATGGTGTTGCGCATGGTGTTGCTCATCACGCAATGTTCCCAGTGGGGCTTTGTTGAGCAAGTGACGCGCCTAGTCTCCTCCGAATCCTCCGACTCCTCCGTCGCCTTGGTGTCGGAGCGCGCCTCGGTGGCGGCGGCCGTGGTGTTGGATCACGGTACGGAGTTTGCCTCGACTACATCTTCGGCCGTGTTAGATTTCACCTCCGGCTAGTTGGATCTTATTCGCACAGCGCGCTCGATCTCGACTGCACCACCACTGAGGGGTCGGTCATGGGCGCTCACGGCACCGTTCTGGTGGAATGGCTTCATTCGCTACACCGCTCTGAAGCTCTCGCTCTTTGGGCATCTTTGGTGTCTTCCGTGAGCATCTCATTGCCGTACGTCGCCTCCACTGCTGCGGATTTGGAGGCACACGGGTTGTATTGGTCGGCGACAGGTTCGGCTTATGTGCTGCCCAGCGGGTATCTCATGTTTGCATTTCGCTACGTTGAGGTGCGGTTTGTGGCTCAGTGGAATCCGCTATGGCAAGCCCTGAACCTCAGCATCACCACTCAGCATGAACAGATTCTACGCCTGATTGGGAACATCACCGCTTCCCTGCCGGCCTCTTCCAATTTACATGAGCAAGCGGCCATGGTGGATGTCTCGTGATGCCTCCTTCCAGGCGCTGCTGGTCATCTGTTCAGGTGGCTTTCCGCGCTGTGGTTATGCACTTATGGGCTTGGTGTCCTGGTTGGGCCACCTTGCGGGGAGGGGGGCTCATGGTGTTTGTATCGTTGATGATTTTGCTGCGCAGCTACACCTGCAACCCCTTTCCGTATTTTGAATGGCAGACTGCAGGCGGTATGGCGCGAAAAGACTGTCTTTGTTACGGTTACAAGAAGATGGGCCGGTGCAATTCACCAATGTGCAGGAACATGTTGGATGAAGGATGCGGGATGTCTCGGGCGCAGGCCCGATTCCAGGCCTGCGAACTTTGCGACACCGCACTGCATAGCAGTGTGTGTGAACGAGGCTGCAAGGACAGTCATTTGGATCAATCATGTCTCGCCCACCAGCTCAAAGAGACAGGATGCTTATTTCAGTTGCTTGCACCATGAGCCCTCCTCATGCTCTTGCTGATGCTTACATGAAAATGTCCTTCACATTGGGGTGGGAGCTGTACTGAGCGCGCTTTCGGAATGAGAGTCGCATAATGACTAAGTGCGGGCACGATTTTTTATGTTGCTACGGAGTTTCTAGCACGAGTCCAGGGTGGCAAAAAGTCCTTACACATACACGTGTTTGAACACCCTCTCGTTTTTCTAGGATGGCCTTTTGTTGCAATGTGATGAGTTTATGTGATGCCGTCACACATGAAATTTTCATGTGAAGACTTTTTCAAGCTCTCCCCTCCCACCCGCCCACAGGGGGGGATGTCTTGGGCGCAGCCCCGATTCCAGGCCTGCGAACTTTGCGCCGCCGCACTGCCAAGTGTATGGTGGGCCGGCGGTCGCCCCTGTAGCCTGGGGGATGCAGAGCCGTTTTGGATGCCGGTGCACCAGTCCATGCGGGTTACGATCACCAGGAATATCGACAAGGAGCACGGCTTCGTCAACGGGATGGGCGCTACGGTTCAGTGCATGAGGCGCAGCGGTGTGCAGGTCCTAACCGACCACGGCCAAGTTCTCCTCGTTCACCCGGTCACGCACGAGCCTTGCAGATGACCTGCGTGCGGGGTTGATAAGGCGCGTGCCGGACCGGCCAGATGGCGATGACGCAGACCTGGATGAGGTCGTCGCCCAAGCCGCGGCCAACGTCGCAAACGTTGCTGACGCCCGCGGGCGGCGGGGCCGGCGAGGCAGGGGGGGCGGAGGACAACGCGGCCGGGGCGCAGCGGCGAGGCTCAAAACGAGGAGGGCGCCCCCCATGCGTCCCCTGCTCAGTCTGCCGTCTCCTCGCGGGCACTTGGGCACCGCTGTTGATCTTGTGGGCGTGCTGCGTCAGCGGGTGCACACTTTCCCGTGCCCACCCCGCCAGCTCCGAGGCCTTCTGCGACATGCCTGTCTTGTAGGTCACGAGGCCATTCATGATGCCGCGCGTGCAAACGTCCCGCGACACAGGGCTCACGAAAGATCGTGTCGACCGCCACCTGGGCACCTTGCCACAGCGGCAGCCCATTGGCGAGAACCTCTATGCGGACTCGCCGGCCGCTTTTCGAGCTGCCCATCGTGGGGCCTCGTGACCCGACTGACGGCCACCAGGTTCCGCTCGGGGAGCTTCTGGCAGGCCACCTGCCGCCAGCGCCCAGCAGGCTGTGCGGGCATCCCCGCGTGCGCCGACACCGGGACACCTGACTGCGGGCGGAAGAAGGAGTGCGGAAAAAAAAAAACGGTGGGCATCGCAAACGGCGACGTGTTTCGTCGGCTTGCCGCGCGTTCTTTGGCGGCCGCTTGGATGCCAATTCTCGAGAAGCTGCTTTTGTACGGCCTTTTCCGTGTCCACAGCGGTGATGAGGGAGGGTTGCCGGAACACCATCAGCGGAAGAACCCTCAGTGCGCTTCTCTTGTTCAGACCAGGACAAGTGGCAGATCGTCCAGATGTGATCAGTGCTTTTGCTGAACTGACGAAAGCCTCGAGAAAATGGTGGGAATCGCCGGAATCGAAGTGCTGTGGAGGCTCGATGCGTTTTAGGTTTCTCGTAATTTGCCTTTTTGCTTTGGCAAGGCTGATAACAGTCGATGCTGTGCGAAAACTTGACGTTGCGCAGTGATTGGTATTGACTTCATGTTAACTGGACTGACATTGCGCAACTGGCGGGCTGCAAGCTGCAAGGACCTCGTTGGACGCGCGTAACGCCTACGACTGCATTTCCCGCGCCGCGTTTCTGCGCAAACTGCGCGACGTTGCGCCAAAACTCGTGCCTTTCGCGTGCACTTTTTTCGGACGCCCGTCGGCGTACCAGTGGTGGGACGACGAGGAGGTGCGCCACGAAATACGCCAGGCGGGAGGTTGCGAGCAGGCTGACCCTCTCGCCACTGCCCTTCTTGCACTTGGCCAGCACGATGCGCTGCGTCAGGCCGACTCACAGGTGGGGCTCGGCGAGTCCCTCCTGGCTTTCTTGGACGACCTCTACGTCCTCCTGCCGGAACCCACCCGGGCGCGAGCCCCTATGGACCTGGTCACAGGAACCGCCGAGGCCCATACCGGAATCGCTGCCAATTTGGGTAAGACGCGCGTCTTCAACAATGCGGGTGGCCCGCCGCCGCCAGGAGTCGCCGCCTTGGGATCCGAAGTTTGGCGTGGCGAGAGGCCTCCCCAAGAGCGTGGCTTTGTTGCTTTGGGCACCCGCATCGGCACGCCGGAGTACGTCCGCACTTGGGGGCGCGGAAAGATTCGAAGTTGTAGGTCCGCCAGCTCCCCCTTCTACCCGACCTCCAGTGCGCCTGGCTCTGCCTCAGCTTTTGCGCAGCGCCACGAGCAAACCACGCGCTGAGGACGGCTCCGCCCGACCTGATCGCGCCATACGCGGCGGCACGTGACGCGGCCGTATACCTTGCAGGCGTGTCTGGGCGCGCCCACAGATGCCCCGCCAAGTACATAGCCCTGCTCCCCGCCAGCCATGGGCCTTGCACAGGCCACGCGCGTCAGCGCAGCAGCGTATTGGGCCGCGTGGGCAGATGTCCTCACGGTGCTCCGTGGGCGGTGTCCTGCTTTCGCGCAGTGTCCCTCTCGTCACTTGACTGAACCAGCTTTTCGCCGAACATCACAGCAGGAAGCATTCGCTCTCGCCAGGCGCGAGGTAAAGTTTTCTTTTCCCGAAAGCATCGCGAAGGGTTCTTCCGTGCGGAGCCCTCTGACCCAATAACATAGAGTGAAGCGCATAGAGTGAAGTGCATAGCGTGAAGAGCATGGAGTGAAGTGCATAGAGTGAAGCGCATAGAGTGAAGTGCATAGAGTGAAGTGCATAGAGTGAAGTGCATAGAGTGAAGTGCATAGAGTCAAGTGCATAGAATGAAGTGCATAGAGTCAAGTGCATAGAGTCAAGCGCATAGAGTGAAGTGCATAGAGTGAAGTGCATAGAGTGAATTGCATAGAGTGAATTGCATAGAGTGAATTGCA